GCCAGACAAATACCTCACGGCGCTCTACACACCAACTCACTCGCCCTAACCCGGATCGAGCCTAGAGAAGTATCAGCACCTAACCCCGTGTAACAAATACCAGGGATGAGAACGATTGGATGACGTATCTTTACAGATTGCCGTGCGTGTTCTATGCCCTTCAATACGACTATTTGAGGGCTTACTAGGCTAATCATGGTATTTGTTGCTACTTGGTCAAGGAACACCCTTGTGTATACAGAGATGTGATAATGATTGCTCCGATAAGGCAAACGTGAAGTCAATGAATTTACCTGATCGGAGATTGTGTCTTAGTAACCGCCATGCACTGGCGACTATTTCCCTAAGCGTTTTTCGCATCCTGCATGCAGAGGTTAAGTTGGAAGCCGCGGAGATTATCTGTAAATGTGCCCTGGGGCTAGATAGGAAAGTCCTTATTCGCACCTTTTTTGCAAGTGTTAGAAATTGTTGCTACTAGAGGGGATGTTAACAAGAAGGTGGGCACATTACTTAGAATGGATGCAGATACAGTTGCCGAGGCATCTTCGAACTGGACTGGTATAGCGACATCCTGCGTTTGCGAGTTATCTGCAATCACGGTTCTGTAACCATTCTGTGTTTTTACGCTGATGATATCCTGCCTTGGCGGCCTGCGCTTAGCAAGTGTGAGCACCAGGCCTATTTCGATGAACCAAGTGCGAACGCTGATTTTAAATTCTCTAATTTTGGGGCCCTTCGGATGACAAAGACCTTTGGAAATGTCATGCGGCACCTTCTCACATGACACTGAATATGCAAAGGTTCTATAACTAGTAAGAAAGTACAATTTGAGTTGACCACAACGAGAGTAAATAATGAAATCCATCCATCCTTATATCCTCATTGCTTTCGGTCCTGACATCTGTAACATCTCTAGAATGTCCTGGCATCTAGGGATGCTTCAGATGTCCTTGACATCTCCAGATGTCATGGCATCTNATCTGTCTTCTTGGCAAGATGTCACGTCTTGGCGAGATGCCAAGTCACGTGATCCTAATGCCCCGCGATGATCATGCCCATTGGGATCCCCAGTGGTTTCCCAACCATTCATCGTCATACCCAGGGAGAGGATCCTTCTTCTTGTTGCTTGTAACAGTATTACCCTCAGTCGTAAAAACCCAGCCCCGCTACCCTGCAGAACAAGGATATAATGATTTTATACGATATCTGCCTGCGGCATTATACCTGATTCCGAATGAGATAAATGACCTATTGTATGGTATGTCCGTTTTCCTCGTCGGACATCTTGGCATTTCCGCCTTTGGAACATTAGCAAGGAACACAGCAAGAATGGCTATCCACGCTTAGTATACGAATAATCCGCATGTCGGGCACTTTGAATGCGATGCTGCCATCTTATACATTCTGCGACAATATTGTCAAATGCGAATACAAAGTATATTTCGAAAAAGTATCCAGGTGAACCGGGTGTGTATGTGTGTGTGTGTGTGGTGAAATTGCGGTCATTTGTTTGACAACGCTAGTAGACCCAGCCCGAAGGTCCGATCCGGTCTTCTTAGTTTTCCGAAACAGCGATGGCGACGAACATCAGCCGCAGTTAGCTCTCAGCCGCAGTTAGCCCTTAGCCTCAGTGCACAATTCCCAAAGGTTAAGTTATCCAGTACGATGTACTTAGAAGTATCTGTATATATAGGGCAGGAGCGCCACAGGGGATGTTTAACAGCACACTCGAAAGCATCCACAATCTTCCAAACACTTGTTCTATTCCTTAATTGACTACATTCATCATGGGACTCTCCAGGCCTTCTTCCCTATCACGATATAGCTCTATGCTACTTCTTATACCCTCCATCATAGCTCTTGTTTCTGCAGCAGCTGTGCCCGAATCAGTTGATGTCGCTGTCATTGGCGCAGGCCTGGCAGGTCTAACAGCAACGCGCGATCTTCTCAAGGCAGGCAAATCTGTCCTTGTTCTCGAAGGGAGAGACCGTGTCGGCGGCAAAGTCTACAATAAACCGTTGAAGAATGGTGGTGTCACAGAAGTCGGTGCCGAATTCGTGGGTCCAACTCAGGACAAAGTGCTTCAAATGATTGCCGACCTTGGACTGGAAACATTCGACACCTACATTGAGGGCGAGACGGTACTGTACCTCAACGGCACAAGGTCAACTTACAACCCGGACCCCCAACTTGGTGGTGCACCGCCGCTCGAAGAAGCAGCACTCGTACAGATTTCCACTACGAGAACTCAGTTGGACGCTTGGGCAGCTGAGCTGAATGTGAGCGCACCTTGGTCGCACTCGAAAGCATCTGAGTGGGACAGTATCACCTTTGATCAATATCTGGATACATTACACCTTGTGCCGGACGCTAGATTCGCACTAGCCACGTTCTGCAAATCCATTTTTGCAGCAGAGCCACATGAGATCTCGCTGTTGTATCTCCTGGTATACGTCGCCGCTGCCGGAAACGAGACGACGGTCGGAAACTTGGAAAGATTGATTGCTACAAAGGGAGGAGCTCAAGAAAAGCGAGTAGTGGGTGGTACAGGCTTGATCCCGGAGCGTCTGGCTAAGAAGGTGGGCACTGAGCATATTGCTTTCAACGCGGGTGTCTCCCAAATCACCAGGACCTACTCTGGTTATGACGTTGAGTCACGCGCCGGCAAGATCCACGCAGAGAGGGTGGTACTCGCCATGTCGCCCCCACTCGTTAATCAGATCAGGTTCCAGCCGGAGCTTCCCGGAAGTCGACAGCATCTGAATTCCGATACCAGAATGCCCGCGATCGGAAAGGGCATACCAATCTACAAGACACCTTTTTGGCGCAAAGAAGGGCTGAGCGGACAAGTTCTTTCCAACTCTGGCCCCGTGCGAGTGACTTTTGATAGCACTCCCGAAGACACTTCTTTCGGCGCAATCCTCGGCTTCATCCTTGGAGACCAGATGCGAGCTCTTGACAAACTCAGCGCGGAAGAAGCCCAGACGCAGATCCTGGATACCTTTGCGAAGTACTACGGCGGGCAAGCGAGAAACATTACAGAATTCGTGCTTCAACGCTGGGACTTGGAGGAGTTTTCGAGAGGCGGACCAGTCGCCATTGCTCCACCGCATGTCTTGACCAACTATGGTTCGGCGCTGAGGGAGAGCGTTGACGGTATCCATTTTGCCGGCACAGAAACGAGTGAGTATTGGGTCGGATACATGGATGGCGCGATTCGGAGCGGTGAGCGGGTTGCTAAAGAGATTCTGGGTAGTACCTAGACACCAAGCCGGGCACGGCCGGGTGAGACGGAACCTCCGCTTTCGCTTGCGCAGGAACCCGTCTTATCCTTTCCTTATTTTAAACTGTTCATAGATAGACATTGGGTTAGACTGAGCCGTCAGATTGATTTTTAGTAATGGACTAGCGTTATTCTGGTTAAACTTCCTTGTGTGTATCTAGGCGTGTTTGCGTTGATGGTATTTTGAGCAATTCCATGGCATAGTGAAAACCCATTCATCCATAATCGGTTCTGATCAGATAATGTGAGAGTTCGAATGGCGATGCTTTACTGCAGCCTTAATGCTATGCTTCGGGTCAGCAATCAAGATCAAAGCTGCCAAGGAAAAGGCGCGACAAAGATGGGATTTCGAAGCAGACAAAGTGACACATGTCGTACTATCCAACATTGGATTATCTCAGCTTGTACAACTAGTTTTCCGATGTCAACAGAAAAACAAAACAAACCATGGATGAGGTCATTTTTCCCAAGGACACGGTCGTCTCCGCGGTCTAGGACGCGCCTAGCAACGCCAGTGGCGCTCAACGCATGAGGTCATCGTCACTACTCAGCTTCTTGCTCCCTGATCTGCAACTTCCCTGCACCACATCATCTCTTTCTTATTTGGCTGGTTCTTGCTACCCTGGTTCAAACTTTCCGCTATCTACTAACTTTCACGGACTGATCTTGCGAAACGAACGATAGACCGAAAATGGGTTGCGGAAGCAGCAAAGAGAAGAATGCGAGTAGGCCCACGGAGATGGCGCGTCCGGTACAACTGGATACACCGGGACAGCACGACGTAAATATTCCTGTAGCTGGCGAGGGTGCGACAGTCAAAGCGAGACGGTCTCCGGACAATCCGATAGTATACTTTGACATTGCCATTGGAGGCGAACCGATCGGACGCGTACAAATGGAGCTATTCCTCGACGTTGTGCCCGCAACATCGGAGAACTTTAGGCAGTTTTGCACTGGCGAGTGCAAAGTCGGAGGATACACGAGTAGCACTTTCCACCGTGTTGTAGGTCATACTCATATAAGAAACCCGCAAACTATTGGCTGACAGCAAGCTAGATCCCCAATTTCATGATTCAAGGCGGCGATTTCATGAGGGGTGACGGTACTGGTAGTGCCAGTATCTTCGGTAGCGAATCATTTGACGATGAGAACTTCCAACTCAAGCACACCCACCCTGGGCTGCTGAGTATGGCGAACTCTGGGTAAGTCGATTACTGTAGTACGCAACAGATACGTGTGCTGACTCGATTGTTGCAGACCCAACAGCAATGGCTCCCAATTTTTCATCCTGACCGCTGCTACACCACACCTGGACGGGAAGCATGTCGTCTTTGGCGAGGTCCTGGATGGCATGGATGTAATTCGGAAGATTGAATCGACCAGAACTGGCCCAGGGGATAAGCCGCTCAGTGAAGTTGTAATTGCAGGTGCTGGTCAACTTGCAGGCGCAAAGCCATTGGAAAGCTGAGTGGTAGTTAGGGCCGGGAAGCGTGTGGGAAATACTAGTTTTCGGTACTTTTGATCTAGCGCTGTTTCTTTCAAAATCGATGGGTGAGCTGCGTAATTTGTCTACTTTAGTGGAGAAGTCTTTTCGATTAATATAGATGGCATCGTTGCCCAAAATGGGCTGGACAGTATTTTAGACGTTCTACTCTAGTTGTATGTGCGTTGCTGCTCGCATTGTACAGGTTCAACCAAGGGAACTCCGGCCGATGCAGGAGGGGGGCAGCTCTGAAGATTGCAATACTAGTAACACCATCAACATCTCATCTAGTATGCGAACTAGATCAATTTTGCAAGTACCTCGATAAATGCTACCATTGAGTCATATGTATGAATCCTATAATGGAATTGAAAACAACATACAAAAGTCAGACGTATGCTTGGCTTCACCCGGTACCGCTGTGCATCGTACGACAGCCAAGACTCCCCCGCCGTCTCTACGGGAATCATCACTTGCATACGCTGACACTTCGGCTAACATTCCGTAGTTCCCTCCGCGACATCACTTGGCGCGGCTAGCTGTGCGAAATAGCATGGTCCTATGACCTCGGCAGCACCTCCGATATTGTCGGCAGTTTTAATGATACCGACAGGAGCCCCAAGCCACTGTCAGCCGCTGTCCCAGCGGGAGGCGGCATGCCAAGGGTGGGAGGCGCCATGCCAAGTGCGCTATCAAGCATGGCGCTGAACTAGGCTTTTTTTGGCTGAGAAACTACAGTGCTTAGTAGAAGGACGGTTGATCTGCCTGTTTTTCACAAAGGAAAGCATTTGCAAAACGGGCGGTGAATTTGAAGTCAGAAAGTTATTCATTCGTGCCATGCCGTTATGAAAGATATTCCGACCTCTTTCGGCGACCAAGGAGTTATTATGAGGTCTTTGAGATATCAAAGATCCCGCCCCTCGAGCCGCCGATCGCGCGTCTTACCTCTTGACGGCTTCTATTGTTTCAATACCATACTCCTTTTCTCCCATCGTATCTAATCCCTTGCTTCTCGCAACAACCTCCTCCTGGGTAAGGATGGGCTTGCCACGAAGTTGTGCCCATACCGCCTTGTGCATTGGACGCATGAAGAGCGCGTCCATTTCCTCCAAACTGATACCCTTTGTCTCGGGTACGAAGAAGAAACTCCAGATACCCATGCCGACAAGGATAGAGGCGAAGAAGAAATATGCGCCATAACCTAGGTCAGAAATCATGTAGGGAGTGCTTCGGGCGATGATGAAAGAACCAAGCCAGGTATCGGCAGTGGTAAGCGAGACGCAGAGCATACGGATATCCAAGGGGAAAATCTCGGATGCGTAGGTCCAGGTGATACCTTGCCATGTAGCGCAAATGATAAATGCGTTGACGTATACGCATACCATGGCCAGGTAGCCCCAGCCATTTCGTGAGACATCTCCTCTGAGTGCAGCACCGGCTGGATCTGCCTTCATGACGTAGCCACCGATGTACCACATTGGAATGCAACCAAGAGCAGCACCCCAGATCAAACCCTTACGGCGACCAACCTTCTCAACGACCCAGAAGGTGAAGGTGAACATGCCAAGCGTCTTTGCAATGCCGTAGAAGCCGGTAGAGAAGAGCTTAAGCGATGTACCTGAGATACCGAGAGTCTCGAAGATGCGTGGTGCGTAGTAGGTAATGATGTTTACCTGAGTATGTCAGTTATGCCATCTTTGTTGGTTCCGCACATTTACTTACGCCAGTGAAAGATTGCAAGAACATGAGGGCAAGTCCAATCGCCATGCGGTTTCGGACACCCTTTTGGAAGAGCTTCATAAACTGGTCCTTCTTGCTCTTGCGGTTGGCACTGCGCTCCTCAACCTGAGCACGGATCTCGCTCATCTCGTGTTGAATGTAAGCATGTGATTCGTCAAGGCAACGAATCTTGCATAGAATGTTTTGTGCGCCTTCGAAGTTGTCCTTCTTGGCAAGGTAACGAGGCGATTCAGGGCACCATGCGACACCGAGAAGGAGCAACAATCCAGGAACAAGCTGAATGGCAAGTGGGACGATCCACTGTGTCTTGGAGTTGACATCGATGGTTCGATCGGCAGCATAGTTGATCCAAAAGCCAAGCATACCGCCACCTTGGGACGCTATCTCAAAGATACCGACCAGTCGGCCACGGATTGAGGGTGGAGCAGTTTCGGAAATATATACAGGCACCACCTATGAAAATCAGTATTTTCTCTGCACAGATAATGTACTGTTGTCAATGCTTACCATGGATGAAGCGCCAATGCCTAGACCAGCTATAGCACGGCCACCATAAATCATGTTCAGTTTACCTTGGGATGCAGTCATGAGCGTACCGCCGAGTAGGAAGATGGAAGAAGCTATTATCATTGTCTTTTTGCGTCCAATGCGCTCGGCAAAGGGAAACGCGAAGATTGCACCAAAGAAGCAGCCAGCCTGGAAAGTAGAGACGATGTTTCCCTGAATGGTATCACGATTTGCTTTGGGGATACCATTGAGGCCAAAGTCTCGAATGAACGAGTTGAGAGCCATGGTACCGCCAATGACGGCCGTATCATAACCCACTGCATCTGCGTCAGTATTCCAAGCACTGACAAGAAAGACCAGAGATAGTTACTGGCTAGCGCCGACATGGACGCGATAAGGGCAATGGTGTGGATCCGCCAATTGCGGACCTCTGGTGGGTCTAAGGTCCCCGAGGCATGAGTGTTAAAGCAACCCATATGTTGGATGGCAGTGAACTTGTTGGACGGAAAGATGAATGGAGTGATATGGCTAGACGCCTGACTGTGGAATTTCGTGAACAGAAGGACTGGAGGCAGCTTTATGCCCGTGGGCCTCGTCTCGAAAGCAACATGGCCAAGTCCGCTACCGTGAGACTACTACGAGGTGCGCTACTGCCTTTCCCCGCGGGGAAATACTTGGAGGCGAAAATCGTTCCACCATGCACCCAACACCTGCTGTTCCAAGCCATCGACGACACTGTGGCAGCGAATCTGGGCGGAGGCGTGCTTGGCCGCTGACCAGGTGAAGCCTTGCCGATGGTTGGCATTTGCAATAGCGAGAAGCGATAGGCGGGCGCCTGCGCGAAGGCTGCATGGGATGAGCTTGGCAGGCTGGCATTTTTCAGACGACGTTATGGTGAGAATCGACAGTTCGGCACAGGCACGTGACCTGTGCGGGGTAAAGCGGGTCGCCCCATGGAGGGAACGGCACGCCTGTTTTGACGACCGTTGTCGGACATGCCGATCCATCTGAGGTTACACTACACACACAATCCTCCGTCCCCAGCGCCTCTTACCACATACCCCGATGCTGATCACCCGAAAAAAACTTGGTCATCCAGTACTTTGGACGTAGCACGGTGTCACAACTCTCGAAATTGCGAACACCTCTGGGCTGCCAACGCCCACATTGTATGCGATCCTCCTCCTTCTAGACTCACCTCTGTCTCCACGCACTCTTGGTCACGGGATGGATAAAGACTTCCAGTTATCTGCATGCTATCTCAAATCCAGTCGCTTCCAAGACGATAATAAAGCGGGACGACTAGCCAAGATGCGGCGAAACAGCGAGTGCTAATGAGTCGTTGTGCTCGGTAAAGTCGGCCGTGCACACCTTTACGGTCATTTTCCCGGCTTTCCCTGCATCGCAAGAAGTCTTAGCTAAGGTGTACAGCTTGGCCATGATACCAGCGCGGCCGGAAACAGCACACCCTCTTGGTGTACTCTTACTCATACTCATCTCCTAATGTCATGTTTTGTTCACGCGCGAGTAGCAAGTCCCAGCATCAAAGTTACTCACTATCATATTGGTCCTGCAGCCGATGAGGCTCTTGGGGATGTGGTGAATCGAGTGGTAATGTATCTGCGGATCCATTTGATACTGCTCTCGTGGTGGATCATATCAGACCACGCGACACACTTCAGCGGCTGGGATACTTGCGTGGGGCCATCTGTCCCTTGGCAACATCGCTAACATGTATTTCATCAGCCCGAATCCCTACTTACTCGCAACTTCCGAAAATAGTGGGCGGAATTGGTGGACGTTGACAGGTATTCGCCTCGAAACACAGATTCAACCAAGCGCCAAGATATACACAAGACTAGGGAAAAACGTCGTATCGACCGGTCTAAACGCTAATAAGATATGCACCGTCTCGACAACAGGATCTCGGGTCCGATAACCGTGTCATTCCCCGCACGCACAGACACTTGTACCCCAGGCTAAATACTTAGCTGCCCGAGCTTTGGATCCTTCACATGTGTTGGGCTAACGTAGTCTTGGGTTATTCATAGCCCAGTTGCCTGATTATGTGGGGTGGCATTGGACTATAACAACGTACCGCCAGCCCAGGCTGTACCATATCTATTTAGTTTCACCTACCTCGGCTCGGATTCATAATCCAGATGGTTCTCAAAGTGCATAGCTTTGCTATGCTGGCTCCATGCGCCCTGACTAACGTCTAAGGAAAAAGCTACTTTATCAGCCCACCCACGTTGACGTGGCAAAAGAACAGCAGAGAAGTGGCGAGTACAGAGAGATCCGACCATCTGATGGAATTCCGGTCTTGGATGATTATGAAATTATCATGTAAGAGAGCCGAGCTATTAACAAGTATCTTGGCAAGTAAGCCCACGAATCGATGTCGGAATAAGGCCTCATCAAGTTTTTGCTCACCTATCAGAAAACACTGGCTAATTAGAGGCATTTCGTTGGTGATGAAGTCACTTTAGCTGACATATCCAATCTACTCAAGGGAGCAGCTATGAAGGCTGGAAGTGGAATTTCATGTCCGTGAGGTATCCAATATGTCGAATAGTAGTTGAACGAACTAGAGGCAAGGAAGTCTTTGGTAATGACTTCCAGTATCATAATTGCTTCTAGTGATCAACTGATTATAGTATCTAGGTGTAGTACTGAGCACTTCGATTTGCAACAGAACAACTCTTTGCAACTTTATGCTGTCTGGGTGTACTAGATTTGATCTGGATCTGAGACCAGACTATTGGCTGGATCTGCTCCATAGTACAAGTATAGGCTGATAGCCATAGTTGTTCTATGTGCTTTCGATATCCTCTCGTACTAGGCGTATGACTTCAATTGTTTATTATTCGTTTGACGTAACTATGGCATATCAGAGGAATGTTTCTTATGTTTTTTCTTTTTTTCTTTTTAGAAAAGGACAACAGGCCGCACTCCAACCTATCAGCATCGGGTACTGAAAAAAAGACTTTGCAGTCAGAGTAAAGATTCGAATGAGATGCCTGTAGGTACTAAAGCCTCTGGAGTTTCGGCTCCGAGATCTCATTAAGCGAAGCCCCACTTTCGAACCCGAAAAGGGTCATCTGGTACTCCTGTATACACAACTGTAGGCCTGTAGGTATCCATTTGAATCAAGGTTCTTCTGCTGTTCCATGCACTCCCATGTGCCTCTGAGTGACACTATTGCCGATACTGACCCGAGTAGTCTTGCCTGCGCCGTTACAGTAGCTACCATGTGTTTCAAGCTAATCATCTCTCATTCATTCAGAAGCTCTTTTTTGCTACAATTGGCAAGGGATGACCGACAGGATGAAAGGTTACTTTAGTAGCAACACATCCTATGATACGGTTTGAGCGCTATCGTCTCAGTATGAAATTCTGGCTCTTGTCAGGTTGCAGACCCAATTGGACTGTACTCAGTGCTCCGCCACAAATCCACAACCCTGCTATGCAGCAGGTGTTGACTATTCTTTCTGTACGATTACTCGTACATCTGACCTCTGGTATGGGCTCGATAAGGCTGGATGAAGTACTGTAGTAATATTTTTCCATCGTTGAGTTGATCTGGCGAACCTCAGCATCTCTCACGGGACTACATCAGGGTGCTGTACCTGCACAAATCTCCTTCTAAAGAACCACCTTCCAAAGCTTCGGTATCAAGTCCTTCACAGCTGCCCTTCACCTAAGTAGTCGCTGTTGTGGAGGCTGTGCAAGCTCAGCTGGCCATTGGTGATGCCAACTCCGCGGCAACCCACCCGGGCTACAGCCTGCAATATAAGTCGCGCACGAGGACACCATGAAACACTTCGAAGATATCGCAGCAGGTCTAGATCGGCGATGCCAAATCCTGTCGAGAGTAGGCGCTCCAAATATTGGTTGATGCGCTCGAGAAAGTCAACATACCCATTACGAAGGCTGAGCTTTGCCAAGTAGGGCTTTGGGGTCCTTGATCAGCTGCGGCTTATTTCTAGAGCATCATACGTCAGACCTTTCTCGAGACAAGGCGATTTCAAGTTTGTTGTCCCAGAATGCTGGACGCGATACTGCCCGCTCTCAGAAGCGACATAGCACAATTTAGAGTGGGCAGTCTACGAGTTGCCCACCCCATCACCCTCGAACGAAATCGTCTCAACTGCTCCCAACACCTGGGCAGCACCAAGCTGCCTCGTACTCAAGTATAGTTGCTAAGAGCTGTCACCAAAAAACCAATCCCACACCACCTCCAGCAAGTATGATCCCGCCGATACCAAGTGCAGTCGAGCGCATCTTGTTCATCCTCGTACTGGCCATATCGATCACAAACATCGTCCTCGGCTTTGCGTCCAAGAACAAGGAGTCTGCTCTACACAACATCTCAGGAAGTTCATTGCCATTGATCACCGACATGTATGTGCTTTTTCCTGCCCCGTGCCGCTGCCTGTTCACTCCGTTCAGTCTCCTTGCGATCTGGGTACTCTTCGGCGTTCTATACACCAGCATCACACATCGTTACACGCAGTCAAAGCCTTTGTAAGCCGTGACTATAACTCCTATACTATCTTAGTATTGACCACCATCAGCCGGGCAGCCACCAACCTAGCTACCGCACTCCTGATGACCGCCTTCTTCATATCGTACCTCAAGTTCGACCTTTCTGACTGGCCCATCTGGGGTCCACTCGCTATGGTTCTCGGTGTTGTTGCTAGAGCAGGTATGGAAGCAATCTACAGTAGTGCTGACTGCGACATGGTGAAAGGCTTCTGGAATAGCCATGCGATGACATGCCTTCAGCGGTCCCGCTCCGTCGAGTAACGTCCCATACTCCTCTTGGTTGGTAAATGCGCGAGCAACCCTCGTCCAGTCCCTGCTATGACGATTAGCTGTCAGGATGCCCCGGCCCGAACCGAACGCCACACTGTTTACTGCGCCTTATTAGCCACCTCCGCCTTCCTCCGCAACGATTATATGTACAAAACAACCAAAATTCTGCCATCCCCGCGCGTTACTCACCCGGCCATATTCACGTGCGCACAGGTCGCGAGTGGCCTCTTCTCTTCTTCACTTCTACGTTACCCTTACAGCATCAGCATCTGTCCATGATTTCACGACTTTAAAAATTCAGCGCACCGTTGGAAGAGCATTTCGTACAGTTGCATGGAACGGCGTTTGCCTCGGTCTCTTTGAGAATTCCAGCATACCGATGTCTCGGCACATGGTCATGTTCTGCATTTTAGCGATTTCATTTGCATGCCATCCTGGTACTGTTAGAAAGAAGCTGGGCTTGGCTAGATATGTTTCTCTTGAGACATAGATAGCTTCGCTGCTGGTTAAAATAACAATAAATATTAAAACTGCATCTACTCCGTTTGATTGCAGTGATTGCTCGCTGTAAGCATTGATAGGCTATTCGAAGATCAGTCGTGATACAAGGCAAGGTACCCTCTCCTCAGACTTAGGTCTACACTTCCGATAGTGCTAATATAGGCCAGCGATATATACTGTTAGGAAGCTAGAGGTTACATTAGCTGCTCTACACTCGTCAATAAAAAAATAGCAGTGCAGGTAGACTTCAAGATTAAGCAGGGCTTACGTTATATCATCGATACTTACCTAAACCAAGAAGCTTAGCGTTGTCGCACTGCTATAGTACTTACGGGAAACAACATTTACACTCTTTTCTTAACCGTATAAGGATAGGGTTAGAAAAGCCAAGTTAAGACAATATATTTAACTAATAATTTCTATTATATTTTGGCTGATATATCACGTCTTTAATACAATGACCCCGCTGTGTAACTTAAAAGTTAAGTGGAAAAATATTACAAAAATAATCTAAAAACATACGACAGCGGGGATTCGCTAGTGGTCACCCACCTAACTACTAATCCGCCGGTAAACTGCTTATATATGCCAGATCGGACGGGATGGCTAGCTCTCAGTTTCCAATGGTCGTATGTGCCAGTAAGAACAGGGTTTGTACATCAAATGCGCAGTTTTAAGATTTAGGATAGGGTTAGGGCTAGGGTTGGGGTTAACGTGATGCTAACCCTAACATCCAACATCACGACACGATACACGCCAAAACCGCACCACACTCGCTATCTGCACACGACCGGTCACTTTCGAGCGCGCTAATACCACCAGAATTTCATGGAGAGAAGGTTGAATCGCTGTTTGGGAGATGCGGCAGGGGGGTGGGGGGGGGGGGGGGGGGGGTTCAGAGCCTCTGTGGGTCTCAGGGACGACGGATTCATTATCATACGCATACCTCAGATATATCTAGTTTGTAGCCATCTTGATAACAAATAAAGAATGAGCAACTAATTATCTATTGTTATATCACCCGTACCATGGCGCAAGAAAGCCTACCAACAGCTGTGCTTCTAGAACTTTTGAAACTCCAACTTAGGCGCACTGACTAAAACTCGATATAAGTGTAGCTAGCTCGTCGAGCCACTGTGCAACCGTTTCGCGAGCGTAGAGTGTGCTGTCTGCCCTAATCTCCACTTTTAGCTGATGTCCTATTGGACTCGCCAGAATGACAACCGCCTCATCGATCTTTTTTGGCTTTGGGGCTGTTCGCACTACAGAATTGCAAGCGACAAGAAGTACCGGCAACCAACTCCTTGCCATCGCCCCCGATACGGATAAAGTTGTCTTCGGCGCCAATGTCGAGGTCGAGGTCGCGGTCGCGAGGGAGCGCCGATATCTATAGGTTCTGGAGCAGACTCTCTTTGGTCGTGATGGGCTGGCGCTTCTGCTTCTGCTTTTGCCTCTGCTTTTGTTTGCGCACGGCGAGCTGTTTAGCACCAATGGCCCGCAGCTTCCGCTGGTCAGTTTTGCCATTCTCCGTCAACGGAATGTGGTCGACGGCCATGTATGTAGACGGCATCATGTAAGTAGACAGGACATGGGCTAGGAGTCTGTAGACATGGACGAGGTCAATGTCGAGGTCGAGATTGCGCGCTTGGATAAAGGCAACCAGGCTGCCACCCAGCACATCAGCTACCACGGCCTCTGCATTGAGGGCGCGACGGACGTGGTACTCGATATCGGCAAGCTCAACGCGCTGGCCACGGATCTTGACCTGTGCATCGCAGCGGCCAATGTAGATGAGAGAGCTGTCAAGATTGCGGCGCACCAAGTCGCCGGTCTGGTATAGCCGATGGAGATGAGTGGACGGGTCGGTCCGCTGCCGCCAGGGTGGAATCGCTACTAATGCATCATCGATGGGGGACGATTCGAGGTATCTCTACCCACCTCTTGGCAACCCAACTATACACCTACCTCTACCCATTTACCACCGTAAATAATCTTATTTAAGAATACTAAACTTTTAGCATCTAATAGTCACCTATACTGGCAAAATCGAAATGAGAGTATGTTATTATTGAATAAATAAGAATATAAGAGACAGGCCAGGTATGATTGTTCAAGGGTGCTCACGTGATGCTATCGATAACTCCAACACAGTAGCTTAGTACTGCCGCACTACCGCAATACCACACGCGCGGGGGAAGATATTTTTATTCTTTCGCACGTTGTATACAGATCGTTGAAAAATGAAAAAGAAGCTACATGATGTATTATCGGCACTGCAGAATCTTCCTATGCTCGGAGTTAGGTATGTAAAGGAGTAGATGCGGAGTTCGCCCATTACAATTATATGCAAGAGAGATACAATAGAGAAGGATTGGTTCTATGTAATCGAGAAGCTTGGAATTTTTGCGAAATAGCTCTTGGAGAGCCTACGAAGACTGGTGATAGTAGACGCATATCTCTCGCTCTCGCGGCCGACGAACAGTTGATTCCCATCGGTTGGCACTTCTCAAAGTACGCAAGGCAGATTGGTCGCAGCATCAGAGGTGAGTGAGCAATAGTACGGCATGGGGTATGCACGCTGTAGGGCTCTTGGCGGGGTAATGGACGGGGAACGCGGGGCCCAAGCTTCAGCCCACTCGAAGCTGATAGTTCTACCATTCCGTACCGCACCTAACAACTAGGCAGCACTCTCAGCCTTCACCCGCCTTGATGGTATTTAGTCCTATCATTCGGACATCACAACGACTACAACGACCCATGGCCAGCGCATATTACCTCGCAAAAAACTCATCAACTCGCTCTCCCACAAGGATGGCAATCACGTCTCTTGACGAGATTCCAACCTTGTCGCTGCTCTATAAACTCAAAAAGATAAAACCCGAGAACAGGCAGCCTAAGGGTATACCGTCTACCACTCTCAACGACAAAATCAGCATAATTCGACAAGACATAACGACCCTCGCTGTTGATGCCATCGTAAACGCCGCGAACTCGAGTCTTTTGGGTGGCGGCGGAGTGGACGGTGCAATCCACCGTGCGGCTGGGCCCAAACTAATTGAAGAATGCGAAACACTCAACGGGTGTGAGACTGGCAGTGCCAAAATCACCGATGCATACGAATTGCCATGCAAGAAGGTCATCCACGCCGTCGGACCAATATACTGGAAGGTAGGATCTAGCGCAGCGGAATTGCTGTCCGGTTGCTACCGAAGGAGCCTCGAGCTGGCTGTCGAAAACGGTTGCAGAAGCATTGCGTTCGCTGCTATAAGCACTGGTGTCTACGGATATCCAAGCCACGAGGCCTGCAGCGTTGCGCTAAAGACAGTTCATGACTTTTTGGTCAAAGAAAGCAGTGCCGAGAAGCTCGACCGAGTCATCTTCTGCAATTTCCTCCAAAAGGACGAAGATGCTTATTTCGAGCAGGTTGCGTATGCGACTCTTCTATGACTTTTCATTACTTGATACTGACTATCGTCGTAGTGACTACTTCCCTCCCGTCTCCGAGTCAGAGCTTCAGGAAGAGCACGCTACCGAGCCTCATGCGCTAGCGTCACAGCTTCCGGATGCTCCGACTATCGATCCTGCAGAGGCAGCAGACTCGGAGCAGCCATCATCCAAGAAGCAGAAAACTGCTGAAAGTGACGACGAATTTGTAGTGGTGGACAAGCATGATATTGAGAATGACATGTCCAAATCGGGATTGTAGAGCACCGGAACGATGTGGCTTGTCTACTGGGAACCCTATGCGTACTATTACCGGAATGATGTGATGTAAAGGGTCATTTAGGTGCAATAAGCATTATCGTCTCTAGTGTACGAGGTAATTATACCTACTTCTTGTATTACAAAATTAAGATACAAGTACTACTTTAATAGGTTATGATATATTCTGCGTGTCATCTTATACTCCAACTCTAAAGTATATATTGTTCTTCACATATGTGATTGATCTCTTGAAAGAACTAATCTTTAACATGACTTCACAAAACGATCATAATGGAAATCTCTACCGATACTACTTCGAGCAGGACTATTGTTAGTCGCACTACTGCAGATAAGATACAACTAGACCTAAGAGAACTAGCGCCGACGAGAACAGATGTTGTTCTTCTGCTGTCCACGCTAGTACTTATTGATTACTTCCAGAACTATGTGCGGGGTAAATATGGCTTAGAGACAACGCTTCTTGTTATTCAAGACGTTTACGGTCTCGCCACTCCAGAAACACATGTAGCTATCTGCAAAATTCTTTGGCCCACTATTACCGATACCACCAATCATGTCACGACGACTTTTCACGGACTCTGCCCTGCCTCCTAGAAACAATGTGGGCTATTACACAAAGATAGTCGCCAAACACTTTTTTGTTGACGTTCCCAAACGGATACTTTCCCCTTCTGAGCAAGAGTCTCCGGCCTTCACCTTGGATAGTAACCACAGTGAGCTTGCAAAACTGGACAAAAAACGAAATACCATTACGACGAGCTCCTATGTATATACCGCGTTGCCTAACCCTATGGAAGATTGTAAATACATTCGCGTCCTAGAGCTACTTCCTGGAACGCGACAGGACGATATCGCATGCCGGCTTCTGCAAGCAGAGCTGCGGGAGGGGTTGAAGTACGAGGCACTATCTTATGTCTGGGGAGATATGAGTCAGACGACGCCTATCCAGGTGGACGACCTGACCTTGCAAATCGGCGAAAGCTTGCGTTCAGCTCTACTGGAACTTCGGCGCCCTACCGAGTCTCGCATTTTATGGGCGGATGCAATCTGTATTGATCAGAGCAACATACACGAACGCGCGAAACAAGTCGGCATCATGGGTGACATTTACACACAAGCTACACGCACAGTTGTTTGGCTCGGACCGTCGTATGAGTATGTCAACCTCGCCTTCGATTGTATCACAACTTTGGAAAGCGAAGCCCTTGCACACCAGCAGTCTAGCGGAGAAGCTAAGGCTTCAACAAAATCATCTTTAGATGCTTCGCGAACTAAAAAGGAACGTGAAGACTTGCGTCATGGCTGCTATATCCTCGGAGAATTGGCTCAGGTGGATTGGTGGACACGTGCTTGGGTTGTGCAGGAAGTATGTCTCGCGTCTGAAAAGATCATCATGTGCGGCCAATACCAAGTGGACTGGAAGCGTTTCATGAATGCTGTAGAATACGGAACACTCGAGGACAAATTCGACTCGAGAATAGGTGGGATCCGCGATGACTGCTTGGAAGGTCTTCAGTCCATCAAAGAACTCGAGGATAAGCCATTGGAGGGTAACATAGCAGGGCAATTGCTTCGACTACTGACGTCCCTGAGACCGAGATTGGCAACAAATCCTCGTGATAAGGTATTTGCAATCATGGGGCTGCTAAAGGGCAATCGTCAGGACCTGCATATCGTGGTAGACTACACCGCTTCCGTAAAAGAGGTCTACTGTGCAACGGCAGTGGAAATCATACGAGGGACCGATAATCTCGACATGTTCAGTCATTGTATCCACACTGAGGCCCCAAGCGAGGAGGAAGCTTGCTTGCCTTCTTGGGTCCCCGATTGGAACATCTCAGAAACAATGTGTATGCCCTTGATACGAAATGGCTTTGACGAGTTACGGCGTTACGAAGCTACCTCGGACTCGACAGCGCATGCTCAGTTCTACGATGAGCCAGATGTCGTGGGTGTGACTGGTCAGCTTTTAGATGTCATTGCTGAATACAGCGATTTGCTTATCATATCCGATGACGTCGAGTGTAACTATACAGAAGAGGAGGACCCTTCGTTGGGGAGAGTGTTTTTCGAAATCGGCTGCGAGTTCTGGAAGATATACAAGTTATTACTTTGTATCGTTGATTTCTACAACGTATTCCTCACGTGGGAGAATTTTGCCAATTGCCAGCCGTGTCACATGTATGGCACAGAAGACGCACAGCCATCCAAGAAGATGTTTTGGCAAACGCTTTGCACAGGGCTGCTTGACCCCAAAGGTGAAGACAAAATCGAAACCTTATTCCGTGAATGGCGCGCCCAATTATCGCCCATCAGCGGCCTTCGGAAAATGAAGGTCTCGAAATTTCCAACTTTGTTCAAAACGCTAGGCTTGATGGGTTACTTTTGGGCGACCTGGAAGAGTTATGGCGCTTTTAGCGAAATGATTCCTCATACCAAAGGAAGAAGACTTGGGAGAACAAGATCGGGTTGGCTTTGCTTACTACCAGCCCATGTCCAGGCCGGCGATAAACTGATCCTGCTTAAAGGGGCGAATGTGCCGTTTGTCGTTAGACAGAGAAAAGATGGATATTGGCTCATTGTTGGCGACGCTTATATCCATGGAATTATGCAAGGGCAGGCGTATGATGCCGATGCTGGCATGTTATTAAAACTCAAGTAGGCCAATAATTCCTCAAAACGATATATTTTAATCATGTACTTTTACTTCCTAGTTTCATCGTAAATATTGGATTTTTCCCTTTTCTTAAACAAATGTATTTTAGAAGATTGAAGCCGAAAAGCAATCTATACCTGTAGAACTTACCGTTGAAAAACAATATCCTCTATGAGCCTAGAACCTTCTTTACACCCCAGCATCTCAAGAGCCCTTAGGACGCATCGAAACCTTGCCTTGCGGCGCCTGAGCCGCCGTCTCGCCCTCGGGATAATGTACATCCTGAGTCGAAATATTGTTGCCATACGACGGAGCCGGAAACTCTGGCATCATAATAACAACACCACCCTTCTGCGCCGCCGCATCCGCCTCACCCGCAACAAGCGTATGAGAACCATTGTTAATATCGTTTGGTTTGGAGATAGCTGGAAGACCTGCCGTACGCTCAACGTCTCTAGTCTGGGCATCGGACGAGGCCTTCTTAGCGCGAGATCGACGCTGATATGCTTGGACGCAGGCGCCGAGGAGGCCCAGGGAAACCATGAGGCCGAAGAGGCCGCCGGTGACGCCGAAGAAGATCATTACATCGATTTTGAACTCTTTGGGGTCGGTTTTCCAGTTATCGGGCTTGGATGTAGGTGTTGCGACTGCAGTGTCAGTGGGTGTTGAAGTGGCTGTCTCGGTGGGTACTGCGGCCAAAGTCTCAGTGGGTGCTGCAACTGGTGTCTCCGCTGGTGTGGCATCGCTATACAAGAGCCATGAAGGTTCTACCCAAGTTGGGTTTGAGGGAGCGGGCAGGATCGAATCTTCCTGCAGCTGGGCTACGATGCCTGCTTGAGTGAACTCGGCGGGCGCCTCGATGGTGCTGGTCTTGACAATTACCTTGGTTACCTGAGTGGGCTCGGATGTCGCAACCCGCATAAGCTCGGATGCTATAGCTTGTGTGGGTGCTAGAAGGACTAGCGTCATGAGAGATGGTTGCATGGTTACGGTGGTGTTGGGTGTGCTGAGGTCTTAAAGGTCAAGTAGTAAATTTGCGTTCTTGTTTGCCTTGCTCCGTGAGGTGCTGATGTGGATAATCTTGTGGTGAGTTGGAAACGTCAAATTTATATCAAGATGTCACGCATTGTATAATCAGGTGGGTTGAAGCTGTTCGCACACTTGGTATCTGGGACATGTACAACGTTTAGCAGTGAAATCAAGAACTCATTTGAACAATGTTGCCTCTGGAGTTCGATTACGTTCCAGGTGACTTTTCCTGTATGGCAGGCATGCTATCTTACGCGATTCTTCAATGTAAATATATGCATGTAGTTTTCCCTACTGTTGCCTGATGGCAGCTCGACATGGATTAACATTCCAAGCAAAAATACATTCACTACTCTTCGTATATAACACCGAGATTCTCTGTGAACAAAAAATACCAAGGCTTTTGTCACACAGAAATAGACTACCATACATAGAGTTTTTTTAGTCGTTCCCCACCCGTTGTGCAGGTGCAGCTTTTGGTCTTGAAAAGGTAGGGTTCCCCGCTGTAGTAGGGCGGTGAGGTGCACACCGCTTCAAATAAGGCGTTCGACTACAAGTCTTTTCAACGATACCCAGTCAGCTTCACTTTGCATACCTTGGGTAAGACAGCTATCGCGACGGCTAATCAGCGATTGGATCTAAGCGCATAGCGATAACAATGCTAGGTTGCGATCAACATCTTGGGATGAGATGGTAGGGACAGGTATTGTTCGGACAAAAGCATCAAAACATCTACACTACCGGTGGTGTTGTCGTTGGATTGAATGCCAAAAGCTATATGTAGTAGGTTGTACGGCTTTATGTTTGATATGGCTTCGTAAAGCCTTGTAACAGCGGCTGACACCCTCAAGTGCGGAGTTGGTGTCGTTTAATAAACGAATCACTTGGCTGCGTTTTGCAATAATTGTTATCGCCAAATCAGAGCTGGGGCTGTAATGCGGAGCGCGTCGTCTAACTCAATACGACGTGAAAGGATGGCACCCTTTCTCCGGCGCGTGCATTTTTTGTTTTATCGCGCAGCTTGTTGCCTCAGACAATGGTTGGCTGACGATGAGCCGTGTCTGGGGTGACGGCGGTGGCGAGAGGGTAATGGAGGGGGCTGGCGACGTCATGAAGTTTTTCCATATCAGCACCGCCGTCTCCGCCCATCAGCCCCCATTTCATTTGCTCCCAAACTTCCTTCTTCCAACTGATTGTCCAGCAGCATGTCTAGCAGCGCGTCAGAAACCGTGGTTGAAAAGTATCGCTACGAAATCCTCTTTGGCACGTGGCTAGCCGTCACAGGAGCGACATTTCTGCGTATCAAGCGACAGCCGTACAGCACCCGCCTGAAGATTGAGCAGTACGAGAGCATCTTCAAAGGCACTTCACTCAGCGCCGTCCTTATCGGCATCGGCATCACCCCCGCACGCAGCACCGCAAGGCGCTTCACTGGCAACTAAGAACCAGGCCGTGCTCGGAACGGGCCAGCGAGCATCTCGGGCTGAGGAGAGAAAGATGAAGACATTTGGCACACACAGACACGGTTGACCATTGCTCACAATCGCCAACATCCATCTATATTTTGTTTTTGTCGAGCTGGTGCTGGTGGAGCAATCGGATGCGTCCCGGCTTGGCATTTCCCCGCAACTTTCACATGCGAACACACTCCACCCCGTCTTCTGGTCTACAGTTCCTCCAAGACGCGCATCATCATCATCACCACCAACAACATGTTGCTACGCTTGGGCTCGCTGAGCTTTGAGCTCAGCATGTGGAGTCCCGTCTATGCCGTCGCGCCCTTTGTCTTGCTCTCCATATCCATCCCGCTCGCCTTCTTCGCCCTCGTTACCACGTCCATCGCCATCACGCTTCTGTCGTTGCGCGCATTGGCCATCTACTTCCGCTTGGCCGTTGCCATTGTAGGCGCGTGGCTCTCTCCGTTGCCTCCATCAAAACACAACCCTCTCCGTCGTTCTCGCCCCGTACCCGCGTCAGCCCGACATTCACCAAAGAGCGTGCACCAGCGCTCCCGCCGTACCAGTATCACCGGCACAGCATCCATCCAGGGCCCTGGTGCCTATTCTGCTCAGTCTACAAACTTTCTTCAGCGAAAGAACAACTCGCTTACCGCTCTGATCGGTACCAGCGAGTTGACGCGAGATTTTGAAGGCGTAGGTGGCTGGAGAGTCGCAGGTGATGACGATGAAGAGGCATTGTGGATGGGCATTAACTCAAGACTCGAACTACCTGCCGAGACACCAACCAGACGGCGCAGGTTAAGCTATACGGGCACTGCCAGCCCAGGTCAGCGATTGAGCATCGGATCGGAGATCTTGCGGATGAGTCCGGTGCAAAGCAGATCGAGGACACCCGTACGTTTTGTGCATGACGATGAGTATGGCTACTTCCCCCAGCAGCCCATACCAAACAACACACGCTTCAGCCACAGCCCAGACACCGCCCACGAACGCAAGAGACGAAAGAGCACTAGCGCGAGTAGCACGTCCAGCAACACGTCAACTGGCTTGACAATAGCAACAAAGCATGCAGGAGAGAAATTCTGACCCGAGCAACACATGCAAGTTGTGTTCTCTGTCATCCAAGGAGCCGGCTCTTATTTGCTTTTCATAACGTGTTGATAAGGCAGGCTTCAAACATGAATTGCATCTCAGACATGAGCGGCATTGAGAATACCTTCTTTTGGTCGGCGGAAAAAACTACCCTATACAAGCCAATATCTTCCCCTCTCTGCGCATTGCAAGGGAAGTCAGTTTGTACAGCAGGCCTTTCTACCGTTTTGCCAGCGAGTTGTTCGTTGCTGTAAGACGAGAGCTATCAGCTTATAGTGTCAGCTTGAACCAACCGTTAGCATACAGCCAAGCAGAGGAGTAGTTTTCGAATCGGTTGCAATTTGTCATTATCGTGGCGGCTTCCTCAGTTATCTACTTATCACGATGAACAGATCCCAGCGCCAAACTTAGCAGGCTGCCATCGAACAAGGGATATGCAAGTCGACAGCCAACATGGGGGCAAAAGATGTCCAACATACAGGATAAATAGACCTTTGAGGCTTCGCGCAACGGCGGGCGTTTCTGGCCTTGGACCAACTTGGGGAGAAACGAGTTTTGACTCGAAATACATAATGCAAATATCAAGAATTGATATTCACAACACATTGATCAGGAACTGATATTCACAACGCATTTTCCAGAATCGTCTTGACGATTGCGCTTACTGCCATCCGCATGTCATTCCGCTTCAGCTCAACCTGTCATAAGGTAAGATCCATACTTCTCCAGCAGCCAATGAAAAATGTCTTTGCGACGTTGCAATCCTTCCCTGACGTCTCGTGCTATCTTCCAATTTGAAATCTGCCAACTGTACAACACAGCTCCAGTGTCTCATTGACGCTTCGTAAATCAGGATCCCCGCAAATCTGCCTCGGTCTAACCCGCCGGCGTGCTGAAACGTCTTCGCTCCCAAGGCTAGCTCAGACAAAGCAGCATATCTGTGTATCTGGAACAAAATGGCGCGACGGGGTAGGCACATCAGTACGAGTCATCGCAACCAAAAGGATCAACGTTTTGTTAGCGCTGGATATATGCAAAGATCACTAGCCTGATTAGGGCTTTTGCTGATATTTCTTTCTGGATTCGTCCACAGGTACGGAGCTTTACTGACTGGAGCACGTGTTGCAATAGAATCAGTCATGCAAGGGTTGTGCATGTCATTGACTGGGTAGCGTACGTTTCAAGATCGTCGCATTAGCGGACGGCTCCACCACGGGATCTTCACATCCACTAGGGCAACCCCGGAAGCCAGTTAAAAGTTGCACGTCCGAGTGTCAGGGCCATCGACAGAAACGCTTCATCGCAATGCGCAGGCTCGGCGATGTGATCTGTTCTGTTTTCTCGGTAGACTTGTGCCGACTCCCATCCCCAGGTAGATTAGCAGAATGCATGGTTTCCTAACCAAAATTGGTCAGGTCATGGAGCTCTTTCCGGCGGATTTTGATTGACAAAGCAAATTCCACATATACCCAGCGTTGTAGGTGGACCATAGATGTCCTCACCACGCTACGCGCTGGACATGGAGCCGGGGCGTTTCTAGTTTCATGCCTAGAATGTTTCGGCATTACTATCCTTGACAGCATCACCATGTTCACTGGTGCCGGCATATACTAGGGCCAGGCTACCAATTGGCAACACTGCACGTCTTCCTTGATGCCATAAGTGATGTGGCAACTTACCTGCAGCAACATCGTCAAGCTTTCTTCCCTTTTTGCAGATGTTGTTGAGATACCCCGTTAGACTGTTTTAATAATGTTTTCTTCTATTGCTGGCAAGTTTGCCTGGTGCCTACTAGCATTTTCGGCGATTTTCTTCCTATCATACTCTTCGGCTGGCTTCTGGATCAGCGGGCAGAGTCCAGACACTACCGGCGATTACCCACACAGCCTCGCGGCTATCTTTTCCACGAGAACCCTCGATTCACTGAATCAAGATCCACAATTTCATGACGCACTACTATCACTCACGGCGATAGTCGCACATTCTTCCGCGGACTTGGGAGGAAGGTTTGGATGGGAAGAACTGAGGAGCTTGGGCACGAACCTGACAAATGGGGTTGGCCGTATTCGCAAGAAGCAACAACACAGACGTAAACGGCAAGATCCTTTGGCAAATTTTGGCGCATCCTTGGATGACTTATTGGGTGGTTTAGGTTTGGGAGGGAATTCGTCATGTGGACTAACAAATATCCTTGGCTGTCTGGGAGACTCACTCACTGATTCACTTGGTACACCTGCTCTCTTCTTGGGCATTGGTCTTGGGTAAGTATGCTAGCATATAAACAGGCCAAACTAACTCGTCACAGTATGGGAACAGCCACTGGGCTCAACTTGACTGACGCGGAGGAAGCTAGTGCCATAGCCAACAGTATCGTGACTGCGTACAACTTGTCCGCGACTGGAATAAACCTCGCGGCTCAGCAGTTGGGAAATGGGCTATCGAGGCAACTATTGCCTGCAGTCGACAAAGGAAACGTTCCAGTCGGTCTGGCAGCATATGCTCTTGCATCTGGAGTCGGCAACGCAACAGCAGTAGGCTTGGGTCTGACAAAAGAGCGGTTTCAACCATCACAAGATTCAAGCATCGTAGGGATAGCAGGTAACCTTGGCTTGGGAGTTGCAATGCCACTAGTTGGCAAAAGAGATCTCAAAGCCTCGATAACCAGCTGGACCAACAGCTCCACTGCTTCGGAACTGATACAGCGTCTTCCCCGATTTGCAGCCGCAGCTGGGATTGGTTTAGGAAAAGGCATGAGAAACGGATTCGGCCTGCATAAGAATAACAACAACAACAACAACAACAACAACAACAACAAAAATAAGAACAATGGAAACAATGGTGACAACAGAAAACAACACAAACGGCAATTTCAAGACGATTCATTGGATTCTCCAAAGTTCCCCAAGGCTGTGAGACTATTCGCCAAGGGTCTCAGTCAGTCGTTTTTTGAAGAAAGCGACTTTTCAGAAGTCAATGCTGCCATGAGAGCAGCTTTGTTTAGTTCAATCGATGTTCCGAAAATGCTTGGATCTATAGCGGCGGGAGCTGGAGCCGGTATTGGCACGGGAATCGCCGTCGGGTTGGACATCAAGACTACCAACAGCACTTCGACCATTACCGGAGATATCAGCAGCGAAGAGGTGCAAACGGCTTTGGCGGCTGAATCGTTCACACGGAATTTCTTCTCAAACTTTCTTGAGAACAGTTCCGCCATACAAAAGGCTAAGAAATTGATTACAGACAGTCCACCACAGGCATTTAAGGGCTTCAATGCGGCCAAGGCAGCGGAAGGCTTAGGTAGGGGCGCAATCGAGGGCGTCATGACTGCCATGTCCTCATGTGGAGGGCTCAAAAATCTCATTACCGGTGATTTTCCGGTCGATGCATTTGGGAAGGTGCCAGCGTTGGGTCCGACACAATTCGACGACTCCATCAACGGTGCTGCTGTTGGCTTCGCGCGGGGTTTATCCGGCAAAGCAACTATACTCATTGCGGATGTTGCACGAAATCTTACAGGAGGGTCACAGGCATCAGAAAATGCTCCTATGGGTGAAAAACGTAGCATTGTCGATGAGGATGAGGGGGCCAGCGTAGGTGGGTCTGTACGCTCAGAGATATTGCACCGCTCACTAACAGGATCCAGACAAAATCAATCTCCTCTCCACTCGCCAAGCTCAATCACCCGATGGTGCTCAAATACCCTTGGCGATCGATTCAGATACGGCGCAGAGAGGTGCGCAGAAAATCGTTGATTCTCTAACTTGCCAGGGCGTTGGCGGCATCATCTCGGCAGCTATGGGTTTCATGTCCACGTCAAAATCAGAGGTTGACATGATTGAAACAGCCATGGGCCAAGTAGGAGTTCCACTTGATCCCATGGTCTTGCGACTTTTGCCTCAAGGACCAGTCGTGGTCACATCCGGAGGCAACAACTTTGAAATCAACGCGCAAGAGAAAAGCCTTAGGATCAATGGACAATCAACGAGTTTATTTATTACACTCACTTGGCTGCACGGTAAGCCTTCAAAAGACGGTGCCACGGAGAAGGATAGCGGCTGATATTTGACTCTAGTAATTTTTACAAGCCTCAGCTTTCTCCTTTTTCTACCACTGTATCTCATCTTGGGTGTAGTATGGCGCTTCTCGGTTCTCATAGGCTACCCAGTTGGCGAGATGAAGAACCGGAAATGGCGTATGGGTTTTCTGACCATGTTTGCTGTTTTTGGTACTATTGGCATCATCTTAGGCATTGTCGGTATGGGCAATTCCGGCCATTTCAGGGACACGCACGGTGTAAGTGCCCCTCATTACAGATCCCACAACAAGCCATTGACTCAATTATTCAATCAGATACTCGGCTTGGTCTGTCTTATCATCATCTTGCCTACCTTCGGTCTTGGAGTCGCCCGCCTACGTAGTACGATGCCACATCCCTCACCCTCGGCGTTTGTAGGGCTCAAAGGCCCTATCGAACTTCTCAAATCACCACAGCGTATTTATTTCTTGAGCGGTTTCAGCATAGAGCTCATTTTGATCCTGGGCCAGTTTGCTTTTCTCCAGGGGTTCACGACACTTCGTACCATCTCGCTATGCATTGTAGATGCATTCTTCTCTTCCGACTCTTCTGCGGGGATCGTTAGCATCCTGCTCGTGGTACAAGTGAGCGCTACGGCATTGGTAGGTATCAGAGGATGGGTAGAACAACATATTGCCAAGAACGTTAGCGCGGGAAACTCACCCAGAACTGAGTCTTCTATTTTCAACCCAGGGAGACACGACACGATGGCGACATTTGGATTTGACAAAAAGGATGCTCCTGCGGCTTTCAACCAGGCCGTAAGAAGGCGGTCGAATTTCTCGGGAATAACGGAAGATCTCAAGGGCTCCGAAGACAGTGGCATTGGGGAGCCGTTCAATTTCCGCAAAGAAGGCAGCATTGGCGAGCAAGGAGGAGTACAAGATAAGGACAGGGACGCCGTTGGGCACTTTCTCTCTCCCGAAGAACGGGATAACTATCAAGAGCGTGGCATTTATAACCCCAAGACGGGAGGGTATATGCAACAACAACAAGCCATTACCAATGGTGATTATTACAACAGCCTAGCTGCATACGGTGAGCGACGGCCTTCGTCTGGCATATTTGACCCGCAGCTCTCGCCGAGTCCACGAATCATGGCGACGGGACCGAAGATGTCCAATGTGTCGACCAAGGACTTGTGGCCGCCTCCCATGCCAGAGTCTGAGCGGCTCTATTCAAAGGCGAGGGCGGCCAATTCGGTGAGCAGTCGGTATAGTCGGCCGATTGATGGAAATGTCCCTGTGAGGGACAGTTTTATGGGATTTGGGGCTTGAGAATGGGTGTACGTAAGGGAAGGGAGGATAGACAGCAGATATACCCAAGGAGTTTAGATAGCGACTGTGCTTTCAGTCGAATGTATATGTATAAAATGAAAGTATATTTCTAGATGGTACATATGTATACATTCGTACGTACATACACTACCACGTATCATACGGCAATGTAACTTGATAAAGATAAACGACATGGGATGTTGAACGAGGTGACGGAACCCTGCATGGACCCGCATGTCCCGCCCGCATGGCCCACTCGTCCCGCATGAGCTTGGCTGAGCGTCGCCCACAAGTCCATTGGGTTGCCTCGTTTGCGACGGCACCCTGCGTGCGAATGTTGCCGTTTTGTAGCCATGGCGCAGGTTCAACGGCCCCTTATTATTCAGTCCCAAGTCATACGGCTCTGCTGCCCACGCACGGCAAGGAGGGCGAGTAACGCGCTGTCGGCACGCGGGAGTCGACACCAGAAGCTGCACACCAGGACCGTCACCGACAGGGACATTTCGCATCTGGCGAGCCTGCCTCTCTACCCAATAACTCTGGCTGATCTTGTAAAGTAAGATACTGATTCGGGTGGGACTGCGCAACAAAGGCTGGCCCAAGAAGCTGACATGGCGCACGCAACAGACATGGACGACCACCGCTCACAACCCAGCAACTCCTCCAGTCAGCCAACTTCACCCTCTCCATCCTGCCCGCCCGCCTGGCCCATCGCATTCAGTCGCTGCGCAACCTCCCGTTCATCGTCGTGTCGAACCCCCATGTGTCCAAGATCCACTCCAACTACATGCACAGCCTGTCGACATTGCTGCCATGGGCCGAGCAGGAAATCAAGACGTTAGACGAGGAAATCAAATTTACAGAGGTCATGGCCGATCTGGTGCAAACACACGCAAACACCATCAGCATACTGGCAAGAGGCTTTTTGGAGGCGAGAAAGTACATCAGCCCAAGCAATGTCACGCGCTTTCTCGACGAGCATCTGCGGGCCAGGATAGGCACGCGACTGATTGCAGAGCAGCATTTGTCACTGCACTTCTCCAGCCAGCCCCACTGCGAAGTAATGCACGATGTCGAAGACAATCCAGGATTCATTGGCGTCATCGATACCAAGCTGAAACCCGCACGCATTGTCCATCATTGCGCTAATGTGGTGGGTGAGATTTGTGAGCTCAAGTACGGTGTGCGGCCAACAGTGGTTGTCAATGGCGAGCCCGGATATGAATTTGCCCACGTGCCTGTCCACCTCGAGTACATCATCACTGAACTACTCAAGAATGCCTTCCGTGCGACTGTCGAGAGCGGCATGGAGCGTGAGCCCATCGAAGTCACCATTGCCCCACTACCCGAACTGCTGCCAGAGGACAGAGTTAAGGATAGTGGAGAGGGGGAAAGCATACGTGATCATAAGATTGACAATGACAGCCAAGGAAATGTAGACAAGGCATCGCATCGCTTGAGCGACAACCCGTCGCCATCCCCGCCTCCGACGGCTGCCGATATCCTTCCTCTCAAACACAGCACGCCGGGTGTGACGATACGCATCCGCGACCGCGGCGGGGGTATCTCGCCTGAAAACCTCCAACATATCTGGGACTACAGCTTCACCACGTTCAACGACGCGCAAGCTTCGTCTACGCTGTCGGGAGGTTCAGTATCTTCGGCAAATGGCATGGATGCTCTGAATGCCTTCTCGGGGGCTGGCGGGGATGGGGCAAACAGTCTGGCAGGACTGGGATATGGGCTGCCACTGGGCAGAGCCTATGCAGAATACTTTGGAGGGGGTATTGCAGTGCAGAGTCTGTGGGGGTGGGGCACAGACGTATATCTCAGCCTGAGGGGCGTGGGCCGCGTAGACAGTGTGCAAGAGGCAAAGGCGGAGGCTGAGAAGAGGCAGCGATAAAGTACACATGCGCATAACGTGCTTGACAGACTACTGACTTGTCGTAGATGGCGGTCATTATTACTATGTACTCTGTGCAGTCATGACGGTCATGCAGCATGCCATGAGGTATCGCTTGGTTGTTCGCATTACATTTGTATCTTTGCCATGGTTATCAGCGGCGCCCCGTGTACGACACGCTCTATTGCGTACGGACCTCGGCGTCCTTTTCTACAGTAACATGCTCGTTGGACTCGAGAGTCGACACGACGTCGTCTGGGATCTCGGCGCTGTCCGGATAGTCAGCTTATTTGTCTCGCTCGTATAACACCGAGGGACCAGTATGGACGTACGTGAAACCCTTGATGAGAGTAAACTCGTTGATGATCTTGCCGCCCTGGTCGGTGACCTTCTTCTTTGCGGCCTCAAGCTCCTCCTTGGGAGCGTCCTTCTTGAGGGTGATCTTTACAAGCGAGTGTTAGCATGTCATCCTTTCCCCCAACAACATGTGGTGGGGGTTACTTGCGTTGAACTGGGCCATTTTGAACGTGTTTTGTTTGCTGGTGAAGAAGAGTAAGTGAGGTGTATATGTATATGTGTTTGCAGTGTTGAGTAGTGGTGAGAGGAGACAAGATAGACAGAGCAGAGGCGTATCAGCGGCTTTATACGCAGCAAGCCAGTCCTACAGCCTTGGACGCAGGCGCTGGGGTGATGACGTGCGCTGGCCGGGCCCCTCCATGCATCCACACATCCCACCTCGCGCCTTATCGATAAGCGCACCCCTGCAGCCGCCGCTTAGCGTCTGTCTTGGCGCCGAAAAAGTTGGGATCGCGAAAGTTGCTTGCCGCTCTCAAACTTCCAAAGGCTGCGCGCAACCAATGCGCCTCTTGCCCACATCGCCACTCTTTTTCACTGCACGCACCTAGTACTACGATTGCCATGGCGGACCAGCAGAGTAATCGGCCTCATCGGCCCAAGAAAGAAAAGAAGCCGCATACGGGAGATAGAAATCCCAAGGCATTTGCATTTGCTGCGCCGGGCAGACTGAAGAAGCAGGCTGCACGATCTTCAGAAGTATGCATGCTCACACACACATCCTGTGCAATTCAAACTAATAGTCGCAGGTCAAAGAAAAGCGCCTCCATGTACCGCTTGTTGACCGTCTCCCGGAAGAGGCACCCCCAATCGTCGTCGCCGTCGTTGGTCCTCCAGGCGTTGGAAAAACAACTCTGATAAAGAGTTTGATCAGACGATATACCAAACAAACACTGTCTACGCCCAAAGGCCCCCTCACAGTCGTCACATCGAAGCGCCGACGCCTCACCTTCATAGAATGTCCCGCCGACTCCCTCGCCAGCATGATCGACATCGCAAAGGTCGTCGACATATGTCTACTGATGATTGATGGCAACTACGGTTTTGAGATGGAGACAATGGAGTTTCTCAATGTGTTGAGCGCCAGCGGTATGCCCGGAAACGTTTTTGGTATCTTGACCCATTTGGATCTATTCCGAAAGCAAGAGACACTTAAGCTACAAAAAAAGCGGCTCAAGCACAGGTTTTGGAGCGAGCTGTACCAGGGCGCCAAACTCTTCTACCTTAGTGGTGTCGTCAATGGGCGATACCCCGATCGCGAAATCATGAACCTGTCGAGGTTTTTGAGCGTGATGAAGAATCCTCGACCGTTGATTTGGAGAAACTCGCATCCCTACTGTCTTGCAGATAGGTTCCTGGATATCACGCCCCCGACTGATATTGAGCAAAACCCAAAATGCGATCGCACCGTGGCGCTGTACGGTTACCTGCGCGGAACAAACTTCCCAGCTGGACGCTCAAGAGTACACATACCAGGTGTGGGCGATCTTACCGTGAGCTCGACCGAGGCGCTACCAGACCCTTGTCCCACACCGTTTGCAGAAAAACAGGCTGAAAAGGTTTCGGGCAAGAAGAAGCGCGCAAGACTGGGCGAGAAGCAAAAGATTTTGTATGCGCCAATGTCTGACGTTGGCGGTGTGCTTGTCGACAAGGATGCCGTTTACATTGATGTCAAGACTGCGACATTCGACCCCGAGGCAGACTACTCTGAAAAGGGACTTGGGGAGCAGATGATGATTGGTCTCCAGGGTGGAAAAAAACTGTTAGGTGAAGATAATGGGAACTTTAGGCTCTTCAGGGATGGCGACGTAGTCGACAACAAGAATCTCGACAATGACGACGACGTTGCAGATACTGGTCGAAAGTCACAACGGACAGCTAGAGCAGCGGATGCGGACGATGTTGATGATGCAGATCTTGAGGACATCGACAGTGACGACGAAGAGTTGCAGCAAGATCACAGCGACGCAGATGACGACGAGGATGACACTGGATTCCTCGAAACCCGGCCGCCTCGTAATGATCTCAAGCTTGGACGCAAGGAGAAAGAAGTCAATGGCGATACAAACGAAGACGTGGCATTTGCGGACAGTGACTCGGATCTTGGTTCAATATCTGGAGACGAGAACGATCTTGATGGGCTTGAAGACGGCGACTTTGGTTCAGAAGAGTCAGACGATGAGGATGCTGAAGATGGTGCACGCTGGAAAGCCAATCTACGGGAGAATGCCGCCAGAATACATGGGCAGAGGCGGCCCTACCGTGTCACTGACCTTGCAAAAATGATGTACAACATGGATCTCGCGCCACAGCAAGTTATTCAAAAGTGGAGAGGTGATGAGAAAGAGGAGGATATTGAAGACGAGGATGAAGACGAGGAGGATGGCTTCTTCAATAAGCGAAAAACGGACGATGCTGCCAACGCCGAAGACCGATATATTCCCAAGTTCAACTATGAAGAGCTGGAGGAAAGATGGGAAGACGAGGAAAACGTCGAGGCTTTGATGAGTCGCTTTGCTACTGGTCACATGAATGGTAAGGGAGGCGATGATGGAGAGGAGGGTGATGACTTTGAAGGCTTTGATGAAGATGATGAGGGCGATGGAGAATTTGAAGACTTGGAGACTGGCGAGAAGCACGGAGGCGAGACTGAGAAGACTGAAGCCGAAGCCGAAGCCAACTCCATCGAAGCAGAGCGCGAGAAGAATGCACGACGGAAAGAAGAACTGAAACTTCGATTCGAGGAGGAGGACCGAGAGGGCTTCATGAACGACAAGTCAGACGGTCGAAAAGAAGGTGGCGAAGAAGAAGAGTTTGGCGAGGATGACTGGTACGATGCTCAAAAGGCCATGATTCAAAAGCAGCTTGACATCAACCGCGCCGAGTTCGACCAGCTCGATGAGGACTCACGCGTCCGCGTTGAAGGTCACCGAGCAGGCACATATGCGCGTATCGTGCTCGAAAACGTGCCTTGCGAGTTCTCGCAATACTTCAATCCCCGCTTTCCTGTCCTAATTGGCGGTCTCACACCTACAGAGGAGCGTTTTGGATATGTGCAAATACGCATCAAGCGACACCGATGGCACAAGAAGATTCTCAAGACAAACGATCCCCTCATCTTCTCCCTGGGATGGCGCCGATTCCAGACCACGCCCATCTACAGCATCTCGGATTCACGAACACGAAACCGTATGCTCAAGTATACACCAGAGCATATGCACTGCTTCGGTACCTTTTACGGGCCGCTTGTTGCTCCAAACACGGGTTTCGTCTGCATCCAGAGCTTATCTAACAAGACACCTGGATTCCGCATCGCAGCTACCGGCGTAGTACTCAACGTCGACGAAAGCACCGAAATCGTCAAGAAGCTCAAGCTCACCGGCCATCCCTACAAGATCTTCAAAAACACGGCCTTCATCAAAGACATGTTCAAGTCGGCCCTCGAAATCGCAAAGTTCGAAGGCGCAAGCATCCGCACCGTCTCCGGTGTACGAGGTCAAATCAAGCGCGCCCTCAGCAAACCAGAAGGCAACTTCCGTGCCACCTTCGAGGACAAAATCCTTATGAGCGACATCGTCTTCCTCCGCGCCTGGTACCCCATCAAACCCCACCGCTTCTACAACACCGTCACCAACCTCCTCCACCCCGCCTCCCCCACTGACCACCCTGGCGAATCCACTTCATGGACCGGCATGCGTCTCACGGGCGCGGTCCGCCACGAAGCCGGCCTGTCCACCCCCTCTGAACAAAACAGTGCCTACCGCCCCGTGGAACGCCAAACCCGCGTCTTCAACCCGTTGCGTGTGCCTCGCAAACTCGCCGCAGACCTCCCCTTCAAATCCCAAGCCGCAGTCACCAAACCCCAGAAGAGTGCCACGTACATGCAAAAACGCGCCGTGGTGCTGGGTGGCGAGGAAAAGAAGGCCCGCCGCTTGCTCAGTCAGGTGGTGGCGATTCGCAATGACAAGGTTGAGCGGAGGAGAAAGAAGCAGGATGAGCGCAAAGATGGGTATAGGAAGAAGGTCGAGGAGAATGCGGAGAAGAGGGCTGAGCGGGAGAAGAGGGAGAAGAACGAGTATTGGGCTAGGGAGGGTAAGAAGAGAGCGAGGCAGAGTGATGGTGGTGGGGGTGGGAAGAGGAGGAAGTAAGGAAAGTGTTGTTAAAATGGGGCGTTTCCAAATTACTTGCATTTGACAAAAATTATTATATACTAGTATTGACCGTTTTGTATCTGTTTGCTTGTAGAATCGATGTGCAGCATATCATATCAGCAAGCAAGTGAGAGCACGAGGGGAAATATCCTCTGTATTCTTCTTCGCCTCTTCCTTCAACCGCCCATTACACAATATATACACACTCACACACGACGTCGTCATCATCATCTCAAACCAGGCCCATCTGCTTCTATTTCTTCACCACCAAACTACAAACCAACCAATGTCACACTATCCCCTGACTTCACCCGGTTCCAAGTACAAACAGCCAAACAAAACAAAAGACCCTTTTGCGTCTGTCTATTATGCATTCCATCACGCCGCCCAGATGCGAGAAACAACAAGAAAGAAGAAGAAGAAGGTGGTAACCAGCCCTGGACGAGCCCTGGCCCAATCCAACCAGACAAGATATATAAAATGCATAAATATGCTCCCTTCCTTCCCTCCCAATGATTTCCAGTCACCCCTAAAAGAGAGGGGGAAAACGCCCAATTCGCTTATGAACCCAAGAACCTATGCAATTGAATGAAAGATGAAGAAAAGCTTTTAGTTTCGATTAGAGAAAGAAAGAAAGAGAAAAATGATGATGATATATGGGGGGTATTTAATATCGAGAAAGCAACAAAAGAAAGGGACAAGCACACATGCGGCTAGCGCAGGTTCTTGGTTTGGAAGAAAAAGATGAGAAAAAATTGAGAAAAAAAACTTTTGCGTTTCTATCCGCTACTAGCTATTCATGGTCGTTTCTTCGTCTTGCCGTCTGAATTCTTATCTTCAAGGGCGACGGCGCTACTTACTGCTCGCTTAGGCGGCCAGGTCGATGGGTCAAAATGTATGGCGACGAGCCATGCGCAGAGTATATTGGCGAGATGGTGCAGCACATACGCATACGTCACACCATACACCGCTGCGTAGGCGCCAATCGAAAAGAGCAGTATGTTGGTGAAGAAGGAGACTCGAAACCCAGCCCGGGGGACCATTCGTCCTGTGCTTAGTGTCTCCACCAGTAAGATGAACGGCATGATGGACAGGATGTTGTGATGCGACGAAAAAGGCGTAAGCCAATGAACAGCGAGATTCCGTATCCAGACTACCAGGACCGGAAGGTTGATTGGCAAGATCCAGAGCATGAGGATGAATATCGAGTGCGCATAGTTGTAAAAGTTGTAGTTGGAGTCGATACCGGAATCCCTTGCTAATCGAAAGGCGCGAACAGTGGTTGCAAGCTGTACGAGACAGAGTACGACGTAGGCAAAGTGATAGGGGATCACTGTCGAGACGAGCGACAACAAGATACACGTAGTAATAACGCGGCGTCGGTTCGATGTTACGGCAAAAGCCGATGGTGATCTCCCACCCTCGTCTTTCCTCAATTTGGCTGGCAGGAAGACCGAGTAAAGCGACGCAAAGATCAACTCGAGTATCATTGCAATGTAGTTGATGGCGACGCAGATGCCAATACACATTAGGCCAAACAGCGGAACGAGAAACCAGAAAAAAGTATCGTCCGAACCGAGCAACAGTTCATTATTGGCATCATCGAAGAGAGCCATTGTATTAGGGTTGCTACCGAGCATCCATTTCTTGGATTGATGTTGGGCCGTGGCCAGAGCGATCGACAGGAATGTGAGCGCGGAAAGAGCGAGTGGAAGCGAACTCTTCAAGCACTCATTGAGTCCTTGAGTGAAGCTCATGAAGACTCCAATGTTGTCATAGGTGCGGAATTGTTGTCGTAGAACCAGGGTTACGATTAGGATCGGGAAAGCAGCGAAGACGATGCGGTAACGCATCCACAGCTTACCCAGGCTGCCCAAAATATCAACGCTAAGATTGATTTCAATACTGCTGTCGCACGTAGGGTCGGACCAGATCTGCAATGACAGGCCGTTCTGGGGTTGCTTGGCATGCAGTGCAGGGGGCATGTACGGCGCTATCCCATGCAGGCTGATGCCAGTGTCCCTGACGTTGACCGAGAATCGACTTTCATGCACATCAGTAACGTACTGGCGAAGTAACGGAGCAAAGAGCTCTCCAGCGTCGCACGCTTGTTTTCCAATATGGATATTGTACGCCAAAAGAGCAGAGTTCAAGGCTGGAACTTTGATGGTTGTCACTAACGAACGGTGGGATGGCAGTCGAAATGAAAGGCCAGTTGTTAGCAGGCGCTGCAGGCCCGTGTCGACGTCGATTTGGGAATCAAAAGCAGAACTGAATTCAGCTACTACCCATCCAGCATGAGGTTCATGAGCTTTGTCGACCACAGCCACAAACTGGTGTTCGCTCAAATGCTCCATGTTGTATTGAAGATAGGAAAATGGACGTTGATTTGTTTCAAATGGGTGCACTGAGTGACGGGTCGATGCAGGAAGAGCAATAACATCCGATGCGGCATTCTTGCAGGCAAGGCGAGTGGCGCCTGAACTATCGCCCGAAAAATCCATGTTCATGGAGAAAAGGGTGGTGGAATGTCCAGGTTGAGAAGTGAAGACACTGCAAAACAGTACCTCGAGCATACCGTGACTGCCTGGGACATCCAACTGCTCGCTTGTGAGCAGCGTAAACTTTTTGCCTTGGGCATGAGGAGGGATTGGCATCAGATGCGCATTGGGGCTACGCTGGGATTTCCCGAGGCTACGCAGGACGAGGCGCTCGCCCTCTGAGATGATGGCGCTGTTTGCTTCGAGCGTGAGAAGCGTCTTGGCTTCCTTTTGTGGCAAGGTCTTTTCGGCTGCATCCTCAAGCCCTGTCAGAAACCATTTTTTGAAACCGCGCATACGCTCAGCACGTGGTACGGTTTGGGTTGCGCGTGAAACATCGATGACGTCGTACAAGGCGCGCACGACGACCTTTCTGTGCTGATCACACCAAGTGATAGCCAAATGATCGATTCCGGTCCAGACATTGGGCATGGAAGTTGAAAAGACTGTAAATCCGTGCGTCTCAGGGACCAATGAAGAAATGCTGGTGTAGTCGGACGAAATCATCGTGTCAAGACTACCTCCGGCGATGGAAATGAGCGTGACGTGCCAGAGGGGATTGTCAATGGCCCATTTCTGGGCGTACGCGCGTCGCCAGTAATCATTGACACCCTTGTAGGTGCGAACAATATCCCCGTCAAACGAGACTGGGGGCCGGGCATGGGGCGCGGCAAGCGTAATGATGGTATTGATCGAGTTTGCCTGGTAATTGGGCATGGTGAGCATAGTGCGGGCTACGACACCACCCATTGAGTGTCCGACGATAATGACCGACGTAGGGTCCGGCAGGTTGGGGTCGCGCAGAAATTTATCCGGGGTGTGGTACAGAGATAGAATATACGTGACGGCATCATTGAGGTATTCGGCCTGGTCGAGCAAGGTTTGGCCATGGAAGGCAGTAATGTCCTCGTTGAAGTCGACGGAGAAGAAATCCAGTGGGCGCTTGCCCGCCTTGCCAGCATCTAGGTCGTGTTGGACGGTATTGTGGTAGTGGTAGGCAGCCTCTGCGGCGAGGGAACGGACTTGCTTGTAGCTGCCAGCATTGCCCGGGATGAAGAGGACGGGCACGCCTTGAACCTGAGGCTTGTCAGTGGAATTTCGCACTGGAAAAGGAAACGACATGCCCTGGAATCCTGGTCCAAGCTGGCTTCACGGTACAGGTACAGAGAGTACTTTGTTGCAAAGCGCGTGTGCTCGGTGTCGAATTGGCTAAACCTGGTGTAGGACGGGCGCATGTACGACATGCCGCAGCCCTTGACGTCTTGCTGGCGCAGCAAAAAGGACTGGGCCATGAGGAACATGGCCACAAAGGCGGCGAGCGTGGTAACGAGGGTGTAGGGCGAAAAGGCCCATGGGTTGCGCAGTCGCTGGCGGCATGTGGTGGTGTGTCCGTCGGCAGCACTGTGCGGCATCATGTCCTTGGCCAGGGCAGGCATGGCGAGGGGAGGCTTCTGGTGAGCCATGCTGGGCTGCAGGTAGGCAGTCGCAGGGTGGGCCGAGTCCGGGGCGTTTAGTAGCAATGCCGCGGAGTGGCAGTTGAGGCTATCGTCATGATCTGAAGAGGGGGCAGGTTGAGGGTGGGCGTCGTCGTGGTCGGCGCTGGGGTCGGCGGACGAGCGCCGTCGCATCTACTACTCTGGAGGGAGCTTGGCAGGCTGGGGACAGAAGCGCCCGGGGCGAGCGTGTGTAGCGCAGAACAGAGCAGCGCAGAGCAGAGGCTGATAGCTGGCCCGCTGGGTCGAGGGAACAAGGGCGGTCTGGACGAGTTGCGTGTTCTGGCTCCCCGGGGGGGGGGGGGGGCGGGAGTCCTGGCTCGCTAAATTTGCGAGGGCTCGCGGTGGATATCTATCTGCTGCGGCTGAAGCGACCGTCGATGGGAGGGTGAGCCCGGGGCGTTGGGGAGGGGTGGGTGTTATCGGGCGAGGGCGCTGGCAAGAGTGCAGGCGGCCATGGAGGATTTGGCAGAAAGGGTTGAGGGCGTGGAATGTGGGCGGGAGTGCTTGGATGTTTTGAGCAACGAGCGTCGCAAGCTGCCAAGGAGCGCGAAGTCCAAGTCGTCGAGTCGTCGAGCAGGCGGGCGACAGGACCACGGCAGGGCCCTCGCAGCAGCCAAGGCCGCAAGCCGGCTTGTTCGGAGGTTATCGCTACGGCCATGGGAAGATGGGGGCATGGGGACATGGGGACATGGCGGCATATATGTGGACAAAGAGGGCAAGATGCGACGATGCAAAGAGCTGAGCAGCCCTCGCCCCGACCAGACGACAGCATGCACATAAGTACGTACATCCATGGCTGTGCATGTTCTTGGTCAAGCTGGCTGGTTACACTGCACACAACCAAGTACACTACTTCGCATATCAAGTCATGTGCGCTATAGCGGCTAGTCCGTTATACCTCCTTGTGCATAGTACACGAACCACTACATGGGAACAATACAATTGAATATGCAACGATAGCTTGACATTAAAAGCCTGTACATTTTACTTTGACGTGCCTTGTTCATTTGAACAATCTTCTTAAACACATGGGTATCAACGCTACAAACGCTTACAAAACAACACGACTTTTATCCTTCCTTTTCAACATGATGCTTTTCAAGAGGCCAGCTCTACCACGGCGCCCAGAATGGATTGCCAGATGGACGGTCTCTGGTTCTGCCCGGCATCGGCTTGGGCTTGTTCATCTAGCAGCCGGCGGCCTTGTTCCACCTCGGCCTCCCACTTCAACACGGCCTCCTTTTCGTCACGGATGGCCATGTCTGTAGGGGCCAGCGCTGCAGCTTGTTCAATTAGAGCAACAGCCTTGACGCTGCTAGCCGTGTCGCTCATCAGCCTCAGGCATCTTGCCTGGCGAAACAACATCTTGGCCGCCTGTGCATTACTCGGTCTCCATGTAGCGCCTGCGTGTTGCGCAAACCGCGCACTCGTCGTCTCGCACTTGCGCAGATGCTGAATCGCAACACGCCCGTTGCGCTGCACCACAATGCCCTGGGACTCGTCGTTGGCCATGTCCACCTGCAGAAACTGTGCATGCAGCAGGTTCAGTGTGAAGTAAAGATCGGCAATCTTGTTCACAAACCCTTCCCCACCTGTCTTTTGAAGACCCTGCCATGACGAGCTGTGGCGCATGCGCTCCAGCGTGCGCATCGCATATGCCCATGACTGCGAGGCAGAGTAAAAGTTGTTTTGCTGCCACTGCCGCTTGCCCACGTCCACGCCAGTATCAATCTCTTCAATCGTCGCCGTAGGCTCGGTCCAACGGGGCCTTGCCACCTCGCCCTTGACTACCTCGGCCACGGCACTATCGACAGGACCGACAATCTTGAGGTTGGGCACGCCACGCAAAGACGATGCAATAGGCTGCAAGAGACGCTCCTGTGCATTGGGGGCAAGGAAACGGGTTTGGGCGTAGTTGAGTCGGATGCACGCCTGGATGGACGCATGCTCGCTTGTCGTTGGGTTGGCATCAGACATGACGCTCTCAATGTCGAGCTGCTGGCAAAACTGGGGCAAATCGGACCGGAGCAGCATGATGTCATATTCGGAAAATTGGAAGGCCGAGGGCACAAAGGCAGGCTTGGAGAGCGTCACGTGCATGACGTGACCGGCAAACAGGCTGATGCTGCGTGCCTTTGTCGTGATGACGGGAATCCCTTCGCTGAGGAAGAGGTTGCGCACATCCAGACCTCGGCAGGTGACGCGCACAAACTGGTTGCGTCTGATCATGTAGTCGGAGGCTTCGGCATGGATTTGGCGGTTGGCGCGAAGGAGGCCGGTGGATGGGCTGCTTGCGACGCGCCTGCTCAGGCTGCTGCAAATCATGCTTGGGTCATATTCGACTTCATCATCCCATGAGCAGAGCAGCAAGTCGTAGATGCTGTTACGGATTTCGCCAGGCAGGTCCAGGAATCGAAAGGGCTGTGAGCACGACATGGCGACGGATAGGTGTTGCTGGGTATCAGGGTGTTTGGGTCGAGGACTCTATTTGTCGCAAGGAATGAGTCGGTGTCGCTGCGCTGGGGTGGCAAAGGATGATGGATGGGAAGTTGGTGGGCAAGAGTGTCGCTCAGAAAGTATCGCTTTGGTATGTATGTATGGGCGGGTTGTATATAAATGGTCAAGGACAGGAATAGGAATATGTCGCTATGCAAAATTTGTCGCTTGGGAAGACTTGGGACCAGCTATGTCCAAGAGCATATATACTTAGCGCAGGTACTGAGGTCTGTTGAATCAAACCAAGCGGTAAAGAAGAAGAAAAAGGATTGAATTGTGTGTCAGGATTTCGGAATCCAAGGAGAAAATTGCGTACTCTGCCCTCTAGACGTGCAGGGGCCAAGGGTGGAAATTTGACTCGCGGCCTTCTTTTGGGGAGAGTCGGGGAGCACGAGCACGGCTTTATGCTGGCGGTGGAAAAGTTGCACGGTTGGCAAGTGGGCCTTTTTGGCAGTGAGCTGGAGGACTGCGGCTTCAGCCCTGGTCGGGTGCCGGGCGGATCCGTCAGGGTGAATGGGTGCAGCGGTGCGGAGAAGGGGGGACAGGGCATGGACAGGGCCTACAGCTGCACTGTGATGTCGTTCCAGGCGCGGCTGGGCGGCATCGCCCCGTAGTCCACCCATCTTTCCCGACCTCCCCTTTTGGCCCTGTCCGACGGGAAACCGGCCGCTGCGAAGACTTACGGCGTTTACTCGAACTCTGCTCGGGCGACCGAGGACATTGTTCGGACTCTCGAGCAAGCCCACGTTTCGAATGACAAGTACTACTCCTGGAGTCAAATACGGGTGTCGATGCCACTCGATCATCTGTCCTTGTCCTCGTCCTTTTGGCCTCACATGCACCATACACCCATGCCAAGCAGACTACCACCCCTGCACTCGCATCTTTTGGGCACAAGGCACATGTAATCGTTACCGCTATAAAGTCCATCTATCCATACACACACACATGTCCATACATGAGTACATCCATAGTACCCTCCTAGCTATTAATCGCCCCACTACTATTCTCACCGGAAGCCCCCAACCTACAGTAGCGTACCTGCGCGCCACCTGTCATCTTGTCAAGATGGAAATCGGATCGAAGAGTGATGCACATGAGCATGTTTTTCCGTCTGGGCCCATGCCGTTCGCTCGTGCACCGCTTCGACGTTGCATCACCATTCTTGGTGTCCAGGTCACGTGAACCCCGCCATAGTACCATGTACAGACCCCGTTGAGGCGACAAGCCATCTGGTCATGTCAGACACGTCAAATCGTGAGTTATGGCTCTACCACAAGTGTCGAGGTCTAGATAAGGGTCAGGGTCAGGGTTATCACGGCCAGGGCCGGATCGACAAGTCCCTGCATCGGTTGCGGCGTCATGTTGAGGATAAGAGATTGGGTTATCACCGCGGGGTGCAGAGCCATCGAGCCATGGACGTGACGGGAACCACAATTGGCCAAATACCCAACTGCCTCTAGTATAACGGGAATAACTGCACTACTAGTTCGCCGTTGGCCAGCCCCACATACCAACCTATGCGCTCTCTTCCCGTATCTTCCTACCCTTCTTCTTCCTAGTCGTCTTCTCCTTGTCCATCGCCTCCAGCCACGCTCTCCCGCTATCCTCGATGTCATCTCTAGTCGTCCACTGCTTCACCAGTGCTATATACGCTTCATTGAACAACACGTCCAAGTCATTATCAAAGCCATCCGCAGCAAAACCATTGAGAGAAAATGTGACACAACTCAGTGGTACCACGTTTTTCCCGTGCAACCATCCTTTCATCGTGTCCAGCCATATGTCTCTTATTTTCCCTTCTTCTACACCTTCCTTCCACAAACGTGCAATCTTACGCACTTGACCCAACTGTTCCGGATACTCATGGAACGGCGGCTCCGGATACCAATCCGCCTCAAAAATAGTCAGCTTCGGGAAGAACTGCCTCAGAGTGTGCGCGTCTCTCAAGATTTCTATAAACGTCTCCCCGGCGGAGTTGTGCTTGTGATAATGGCCAGTTCCATCACCACCCTGGGCAATACCCTCGTGGCTGGGTGCATAGCCCCATTGTCCCATTCGCCGCGTAATAACGTCGCGATATGTTTTGCTCACTCCAGTCAGACTCGCTGCAGCTCGTTCGGGAAACAGACGAAGGAGCCCAGTGAGGGGCTTGCTGTAGCCTTCGCGAGAATTATAATGTACAGATATCGCAACGGTATTGGCTTCACAGAAGACATTGAATGCCTCATGGTAAACTTGTTTGGACACTGTCAACAAATTTGCGAAACCATCGCTTTTGGTATAGCTTTCCCAAAAGTACTTGTCGGTATGAGCAGCGTAGTAAATACGTCCTGGACGATATATATATTGGTAGTATATCTTGTCCTGAAGTTCCCGAGGAAGGTCAAACAGCCTGAATGGCCCTGTCCATTGGGTGAGGCATTCTAGTCCCTGCTGAGGAGAGTTGTCGAAACTGTCGGGACACGCCCCACTGGAGCTTGTCTTGGAATTACACATGTTGGAGGCAATCCTATTTCCTCGGATTATGTAGGATATGGACGGATCACAGCACAGGCTGCACTTGATTCGCGTATACTGTGTACCTTTTTTTTCTCTCAGCAGATGTGCCAAAAGCGTCTGTGCGCATGACGCAATCAAGCAATGGGACGACGGGCGTTGTGGCAGGTCCAGCTGCGTTAGCCAATTGTTGTAGGAATGAGGCTCAGCAGAATACCAAGTACATGTTAAAACCCATCTGATAAAGAGGTATCGTCTGATCTCACCCGGGTGCAGGATGCCGGTAAAAGCCAATGGTCCGAGGCAGGCGGGAGAGGAGGGGTGCAGGTGAAGGCGCAGGCGCAGGCGCATGTCAGCCGTAGCTCCGACGACCAACCGAAGAAGCACTGACGTCCAAGTTTCGCAAAACCTCCCGCAGCTTCCCACCTCTCCGCCAATCCTCTTTCTTTCCCTCGCTCCGTCCAACCCAGTCTCCAATCTCTACCATCGTCCATTACATTCATCATGTTCGCTGCTAGGCAAGCTTTCTTCCAGGCCCAGCGCCGCTGCTTCTCCGCCTCGGCCCGCCAGGTACGATTGTTCCCGGGCTTGGCTGCCACTGCTTTTCATAGTGGGGCGCTCGCCATGCCCTCGACGCGCGCAATTGGCACTCCTTTCCACTGCAATACTAATTGAGCCTGCTACAGAACTCAAAGGTCACCGTCCTCGGTGCCGCTGGTGGCATTGGCCAGCCATTGTCGCTGCTGCTGAAGCTCAACCCCAGGGTTAGCAAGCTCGCCCTCTACGATATCCGCCTTGCTCCCGGTACGCTTCTACTTCCTTTGCCAATCCATTGAGCATTGGGCGCTTGCTAAATAATGCTGCACAGGTGTCGCTGCCGACATTGGCCACATCAACACCAAGAGCGAGGTACGACAGATGCATTCTGGCCCCTGGTACGAACAATGAGCTGACGTGTAAAAAAAAAGGTCACTGGACACGATGCCACCCCCTCCGGCCTCGCCGAGGCCCTCAAGGGCGCTGAGATTGTTCTCATCCCCGCTGGTGTTCCCCGCAAGCCCGGCATGACCCGTGATGGTAAGCATTGGAAGCAACAGACGCCCGTGGCACAGCTAATAGCGACACAGACTTGTTCAACACCAACGCCTCCATTGTCCGTGACCTCGCCAAGGCCGCCGCTGACCACGCTCCCGATGCCAACATCCTTATCATCTCCAACCCCGTATGTAGAGTCGGATAATTTGCTATTCAAACATCATGCTCATTCTTTACAGGTCAACTCCACCGTCCCCATCACTGCCGAGGTCTTCAAGGCCAAGGGCGTCTACAACCCCAAGCGCCTCTTTGGTGTCACCACCCTCGACGTTGTCCGTGCCTCGCGCTTCATCTCGCAGCTGAAGAACACCGACCCCGCCACCGAGAACATCACCGTCATTGGAGGCCACTCTGGTGCTACCATCGTTCCCCTCCTGTCGCAGTCCGGCTACAACCTCGAGGGCCAGAAGCTCGACGATTACGTCAGGCGCGTCCAGTTCGGTGGTGACGAGGTCGTCCAGGCCAAGGACGGTGCTGGCTCTGCCACTCTCTCCATGGCCATGGCTGGTGCCCGTTTCGCCGAGTCGCTCCTCAAGGCTGCCCAAGGCCAGAAGAACGTCATCGAGCCCACCTTTGTCGACTCGCCTCTGTTCAAGGAGCAGGGCTGCGACTACTTCGCCTCCAACGTCGAGCTCGGCCCCAACGGTGTTGAGAAGATCCACCCCGTTGGCAAGATCACCGACTACGAGCAGAAGCTCCTCGATGCTTGCGTCACTGACCTCGCCAAGAACATCAAGAAGGGTGTTGACTGGGTTAAGCAGAACCCATAAATTGGGTGTTTGAGACGCGGACGATAAATGTATACTAGTAATGACATGAGCTTTTGGACGAGCTATTTAAGCGGATTGGGATTGTATAGATTTTGATCTGTATCCAAACATGCCAAAAGAAAAAATCTCCTCTTGATTGTTTTGACTGTGGTGCATTGTGGTGACCTTGGTGATCCGGTGGGTCTGTGTGGAAGATGTCACAACGCGATGAAATTTGGGAAGTGGAAAAAAAGAGAAGAAGCGAACAAGGACGAAGATCAGTTTTTTGGTTTGATGAAGAAAAAGGCAATTGCCGTCTATACAAGTGGTCTACATATATTGATGCCAACAAGAAGCCTCATCTCTAATCTGCTGCCTGTCTACAACTTTGCCTTTGCCTTCTCGAGTGTGGGCATCATGATATCCCTCATGTCGCCTGCCGCCTCGTTGAGATAGAAGCTCATCTTCTCCTGTAAAAGCAACATATGTTAGTGAAATCTTCTTACTAAAACTCAAGAAACGAGTATTTGCGAATTGGGAAAGGAACATTGAGGGGAAGGAGAAAGGGAAGAAGAAGAAGAAGAAGAAGAAGAAGAAGAAAAAAAACCAACTTACCGAACCAAGTCCCTTTGAGCAAACGTTGAACTGAATCGAGTTCTCGTTGATCATATAGGCAAGACCCCATCCATCGTCAATGACCTGGCTCCATCCGTATCCGTTAAAGTACTCGCTCGACAGCTGCGAGCTGGAAATGTACCAGGTGGAGCTATAGGTAAAGGCAGGGTCCTTGTACAGAGCCGGTAGCTCCTCGCCCTCCTTGAGGCACTTCTTGAGGCCAAACAGGTGGCGGTCGACACCGCGTCCGTCGCTGGCGTCGGAAATGTACTTGACGTGGGCGTCGAGGGCTGCACGCAGCTTCTGCTGGCACTCTTCGGGCGTGGCGTTTGGATCTGCCATGGCGTTGCAGAAGGCGACGCTCTCGTCCGAGACGGAGCGGCACGTCTCTGTGCGGCCTTGCTGGAAGCGCCGGGTTGCTGCCGACTCGTATGTGGGACGGTTCTTGCCGTAGAACTTGTGGTATGCGAGTTGGATGATCATTTGGACGTAGGCGTCTGGGCTGCACTTGAACTTCTTGATGAGGCCCTTGCCGTAGCCTTGGTAGGCCTGCACCCTCAACTCGTGTGCGCCGATTTGACGCGAGAAGTGGGATTGTGCGTCTACAATGTCTTGCTGGAGCTCCCTGCTGAGCTCGAAGCGCAGAGGCTTGGGGCTGGGGAGGTCGGAGCGGATGTTGGGGTCGTCAAAGGGAAGAGCGTTTGAGAAGATTTGCTGGTTTGCGTAGTCGTTGAGGCGGTGGGTGGGGGTTCCGTCCATCATTGAGTGCTCGCCCATGAAGCCAGAGGTGCCGTTCTCGTTGATGATGAATTGGAGGGGCTTGTCGTACCAGCGGTTGGCGCCGTCGCCATGCCAGTACTGGTGTGCACGCTCTTCGAGAGTAACTGGGGAAGCGTCGTCAAGGCAGACGACAAACGAAGCAGACTCAATTTCTTCCAAAGTAGCGGCATTGACGGGCGAATGGGCCTTGAGCTTAGGGTAGACGTCTGACCACACATCACGGTTCTGCGATGTGAGGGCACCAACGGCGGGCGACTTCTCGGCCTTTGAGTAAATGTAGTCGAACTGTTTTTGGAGCTCAGCAGTGTTTAGCTGCTTGCCATTGACCTCGTGTGCAAGCTTCCAGAACTGATTTTTCCTAATGACGATGATGTGCTTGTGTTCCTGGTATGGGAACTTGACGGTTGTGTCCGCCGGTTTCTTTGGCACACGGCAGCAGTTGAACATGTGCTCGTAGGAGCTCATGGCAATGGGAAGCTTCTTCATGTACTCGGGCTCCAGAGTGCCCTCGTCGACCATCTTCTTGAATTCCAGCACGGCGGTGGTCATGGCGGCAGCGCGCTTGGTCGGGTTTCTCCTCGACTTGTCGTCGCGGTGTGAGTAAAAGTAGCTGACATATGGGACAACTGGATCACGGTAGGCCATGTAAGCGGCCTCATTCCACCACTCGTAAATCCAGTTCTTATGCTTTGGGTCCTCGCGCCGTGCTACCAGGCGCTCTTGCAGCTTCTCACCGGGCCCGCCGGGGGCTACGAATTCATTGACAGCCTTTGTGGTCGCTTCGTATTCGCTCTGGGAAAGAAGCGGGTGAACGGACTTGAGGTACCGCTTGGCGGTCTCTTCTAGCGTGGGGACGGGAAGGCGGGGGAGAGATTCCTCGAAGCGCAGCATAGGGCCCTTGGAGTGGTCCTCCTTGTAGCCTGCGCAGATGAAGTCGTCAGTTTGGGAACAATTTACGCGGGGGAGAGCATGTGAAAGCAGCATTCGTACAAACAAACATATACGGACTACTTACCAGCTGGCAGACTCGACTGTTTCCTTGCTGGAGCCATTGCGATAATCTACACATATGTCAACATAAGTACACACAGTCTCTCTCCTTCTCTCGTCTCCCCCACCAAAGGTGAATTTCTGCTCGCTAACATACCCTGGGCTTGGCAAATGCTTGCTGGTTGAATATTGGTTTGCGAAGTATCGAGAAGGGTACTCGCGCGCGGGCAGCTCTGCTGAACATCACAAAGAAAGAGTAGAGAGAAGTAGAGGATAGGCGACAGATAAAATGACGGCAGGATGAGACCGAGTCCTAGCTTCAGCAGATCCGAGGCGAAAAGAGCACGCGCTGGCTGACTTTACTAGGGTCGTTGCTGTGAAGAGAGCGCCTGGGGGTTGGGCCGAGGTTGAGTCCAAACAGGCTAAGCCTACCCGGCAACCACAGCGTGACGTAGGGAGCCACACTTGACATCTGATGCCGTTGGACCGACTGTCCTGTGATTTTTCCTGTAACCGATAAGTGCCTGTGGTTGCACTGCACGGGATCAAGCCCATCAGCCTATATGCCATTATTTGGTCAGCGTGGTGGGCAGCCAGCCATCCGTCCGGTGCAAGTAGTACATCCACATTCGACCTTGTACTTCCCCACGACGAGACAGTCGCACGGACGCAACACGCCGGCAGTGTCGGAGAAGCCGAGGATCATGGACTTCTGGCCGAGCTTACACAGTATGTATGTATGTATAACGTGCTGGATAAGCGAGTTGGCCNGGCAAGCGAGTTGGCCACCCCACCAAGTTTGCGCACCTTTATGAACGTTTATCTCAACAACGCAATATTATAATATATAGAGAGTAATAGAGTAGACTAAGTAGTATCTAGA